TACATTGTGCAGTATGCTGTAGTTTCAAAACCATAGATATCTCTAGAATTACTAGCATAGCTCTTTTACCTTCCATAGTATCTGCTTTGTCTCTTTTCATGCGTTTACTCAGTACTGTCTTCAATCAGATATTATTAAGCATTATTATCTTGCCAAAAAATATATGATGTCGTTGCTGTGGTATTTGTAGTGTAGCTTGTATTAACGAATGTCAGGATCGCTATATGCAGTTTATAAAATAAAATAAGGCTTAAATCTCAAAGTTTATATTTAATTGTTTACCATAAATTGGGAGATAGGCAGATATTCAGGATAAGCACAGTAGTCGGTAACGTTGATACATAAGTAACACCCTAAAATTTAGCGGTTTGGTTACTTTGGACGATGTGAAGGTAAAACTGATTGAAAGGTTAAATACAAGAATAATTTATAAATCATTTTAGTATTGGATACAGTGTTTCTTAGTCGACCTAGATTGCTATTTAGCGAACAACTTTATAGAACTTCAAATTAAATTAATTTGCTCAGTTTTCTCATCTATATCTATCGTCGTCTACGAAAGCATTTTTATTTTTATTGAAATTTCAAATTCTTTTTGAAAAGCAATATCAGGTTATAGCAATATTATTTTGGGTACTTAAAATCATATCGTTGATATTATCTTAATCATATATCGCGATTCTTAAATAATAAAATGAACTAGCAAAAGAGGAAAATGAACATCAAAAACGACAAAGTAAACGTATTATCCAGTTAATTAAGCAATAAAATTTATCTTGCGACTTTATTATTTGCAATTAGTAAGCTCCTGAATTAATTAAGACATGAAAGGTTTTAATATTAGCAATTAACCGCTGATACATCTTATCCATTCCATGTGATATGATGGTAAGCTATCTATATCTATTAAACGATGAAATTACGAGCTTGACTGTAGTGCTGGGGTTTTACAACCCCTTAGGTTCGCAATCGTCTTACTCAAAACCTGAATTATTAAAATTGAGCAAATCTCTAAGTGACACAAGATCAATTAGCTGAAACTACTACATTGACATTTCAAGAATTGCCGTAGTAGAAATGGTATTCCGTGTAATTCAAGATTTAATCGATGAATAAGCCCTTTGCGAAACTCTATACGACCTATTTGTAACTATAGAATATATACAGATATAGAGATGACAATAATCTAAACAGTATTAATATCCATTTAAATATTTATTTATTTATGAAAAAAAGCAGTCATTTTTATCACATTTATTATTAAATAATAATTATATTATCGTCAGGATATATAGCCAAATAGCTCGAAATATCTAGGTAAGCAGAATCAGTTACTTTACAAGTCGTTGTTGATTTTCAATCCGTTGGTAAAAGCTATTAAACCAAAGCATTGCTCATTAGCTGCTGCCTGGCAACTTTAAATCATAAACATTTAATATTTAAATCTTTCCATTCAGGTATGGGTAGAGAAGATAATTAAGTTTCTCTAATGAATATCTATGCCTCCTCACAACATACTGCAAACTAAATAACAGGTGTAGTACCACAGTTAGGTCTTCAGGGAATTTAACAAGCAAGTAAGCAAAGTTTCTACTTCCTTTGGCTTACACGGTTGCGATATTTCTTTAACTATATCGTACAAAGTACGGTCAACGTATTCGTAGACATTTTCCAACGAAGAAAATGATAAGATGATACCTGTAAGCGTATTATGCATTGTCTAGCAAATGATTCAGATAATCTATCCATTTCTGCTACAATTTGAGAGCAATTATCAGTTTCTGGTAAATTATTTTGATCTACAGTGGTATCTGATGTCTTTAATGTAAGGAAACAAAAACACTTTGGGCTATAGAAATATACGATATTATCAATATAGATTATCTCCTTACTCGAATTATCCTGTAATTATTCTGTGGTATCGATGTTAGCTGCTAATGCCATGCATCATACTGCTATTGTTTTTCTATGTTTGTATAAGTTTCTTACCCTATTTTCTATCTGTTGAGCGCTATAAAATGCGTATTATCATTTATAGTATTTTGGCTTAAAGTTTCAGTCTTCATTTTGCTAAATAGTCTGTAATACTAGATAGCGTGTATTTTCTATTTTAAACATAATTAACGTAGATGAGGGTATACGTTTTATGATAGACTCGGCGTAGATTGGCGATATTAGGTTGTCAATGGTTTACTGTTATTAGTAATCATAGTATTCGTATTGCTATGGACTTTTGAAACACCTAGGCGATCTAGATATCAGAAAGTTTAAATTTATATATTTTACGTGAATTTTACTAGGAAGGTCCTTTCAACAAAGACTATAAATCTTTCTTCTCTAATAAGTCATTCTGCTATAGATCTAGAGGAAAATTTAAGTAGTAATTATAATTATAAATTAATAATTCACATCAGCTGCTATGTTGATGCATTTATAGTAGTATAATCAATAGTGCAGTACTGAATGTCCTCTATACCTAAGAATGCTTCACAGTGTAGAATGTAAGGCTTACTATGTAATATTGATAGACAATCATACAACAAATCTATAAGCAATTCATCCAACTACTTCAGTCTTTGATGGAGAAAAAACTGAGATAGCATAATAAACTCATAAATAATTATCGCAATAATTGACATCATTTTCAATTCTTTTCTGTCAAGATCTATTGAATCTATGGAAACTCTATCCCACCGAGTGTATGTGTATAACATAAATTTAACGACGAACTGTGTCCATTATCATACCATACTATACAGAGAAGTAAATAAGCTGACACAAGAAGACTTTAATTAAGCGATTTATTCGATTGCCTCAAAAATACAACCGTCCGCTTAAGTTTGCCGTAAGGACAATTACACAACAACCATAAACTTTAAGCGCTTGATTCTGCTATCAATTCACCTTAAATTTCATGAGAAAACGAATTTGAATTAACAACTAAATTGTATCTAGCCCTGCGTACCGCTACTATTGTCATTCTGAGTAGAAAAAGAAAACATCTGGTAACATTGTTACAGTGCAGCCTCCGAAAATAGCTTGTGATGAAGTTAAAATTGGTATGAGAATAGTTGATGGAATACGCCTGATATAAGATTGTGCAACTATCTACGGATTGCATTGTACTGTAGGTAAACCAATTTATGTCAAAAAACGAAATTTTGTAAGACTTAAAAGTTCCTGTTATTTAAATATCTCCATCAATGGCATCTGATCCAATTGTATTTGGACAGACATCATAAAAATAAGAGTAACGCCTTTGACCACCCTTTGCCTAAAATAATATTGGCCATATGAGACCCTTTGTGCTTCCTTAATTCCTTATGGCTATATATTACATACAGCCTAAAAGCTTACAACAGGCCAAGATCTCCTTTCTATCGACCTTTGTACAGATTCAAGTATATATTAAGGGCGATATTCGTGGTTAAATCTTGATAGCTATTGTACGCGTATTTGGAAAGACAACAAAATTTACTGAATAAATGTTATAATTTATTCTTAAAATTGCATTAACTCACAAACAGATTGGACCGAGGTATAGTAGTCATTAGGTTGTAATGATTATGTAAATAGAGATAACCTTACATATGCATGTACAGACTAATATGTAATTGTATAAACTCCTAGTTTAAATTATTTATTTCACACGATCACCATCGGTGTTTTTATGATACTCGCTTACTGTACTAACAATTAATTGTCCCCTAATTTTAATACATTCACCCTGCAAGACTAATTTCGTCATTGATTTTATAGCGATATCAGGGTTGGCAACGCTCTCCTACTATTTGTCTCTTACTTCTTAAGACATACATCGTAAGCTGAGTGACTATTTTCCTTAGTAGGTGATATGCTCTAGAAGTAGGATTACAGAAAATCATCATCGTTTGCTTTTTTTTGTACTCTATTCATTATCTAGGTCTAAACCAAAAAGAAGTACTTGTACAAGACCGCCATGTATTCTGTAAAAGCTTGTACATTTTTGCTATTCATCGCGTGTACACTGATGCAAGCATCGGCCTTAAAAGTAGCATTAATGCCTATGATTGGAAGCAGCCACGTAGGCGTAATGGATATCATTACTCAACATTTTATTAAGAGAGGTCATGAGGTAAGAAATGGCTTGCAAAAACCCAACTGAAATAATGTAGCTTTAAAGGTACTGGATATTACAAAATCAATCGAGTTATTGTTTTTCATGTCCTAGATTTTGCATATCTCATCATTTATTTCTAGGTTGCTAACTATTCCTAGTTAATTAAGCATACAGCATTGAGTTGACGAGAAATTTTTAACCTTTTTTATGAATGTTTCTTTCCTAAAAGTTATTGCAGCTTAGCTCAATTCGTTATCATGGCAGTACAGCAGTTTACTCAATATTGCAATCTAAAGCAGTACAAAATTATATATTTTCTATTTTCCATGTCGTTTTGATAGGATCCGGTTCAATGTTAATTTTTGTTCATTTCTAATAGACAGTGACCATATTTCCTAATGATCCTGATCGAATAAAGTCGATAAAGCCATCACCGTTGGCATTGTATGAAGTTAGTAATCCAGTAACGCGAGAAGATACGCAAAGAATGTATACAGCTAAACAGCCTTTTCGAATTTTTCAAGATATTTTCGAAATTCAACGTCGATATTGCGATGCTACGATCTCAAATAAAACTTTACTCGATTCCCTTCATGATGTCGATGTAGTTATATCCGACAGCTTGTATGCTTGCAGTGTGATCTTGCCTGAAATGATTAACAAGCCATACATTCTTCTCTCCTTTACCGGCACTATAGTTGGTATTCATACATTTATGGGGGCTTATGCGCCTACAAGTTATATCCCAAGTGTTGCTCTACCAATTAATACAGCAACAATGACATTTTCACAACGTCTCCTAAACGTTGTTGCAGGCAATGCCTATGCAAATATTGTGCTATTCATGTCTTCGAAAATAATTAATGAATTAAGACGGAAGCATAATGTCAGCAATCATTTGAGCTTGTTTGAACTAAGAAGAAAATTTTCATTATTTTTATCGGCAAATGACTATTGCATCGAATATCCTAGACCAGTGCCTCCATATATTAAACTTGTAGGACCAATTAGTGTTAAAGATGCTGTACCTCTACCACCAAACTTTGAAGAAATCATGCAAAATTCCCCAAATGGTTTGATACTGTTATCGTTTGGCAGTGAACTCCAACTAGGTGAGGAAAATTTACCCGAAATGATACAAGGTTTAGGCCAGTTACCATATAGAGTAATATGGAAAACGCATCAGAGTGTTGGTAATTTACCAGACAACGTTAAAGTGGTTAAGTGGATGCCCCAGAGCGATATCCTAGGACATAAGAACACGGTTGCACTGATTACTCATTGCGGAGCAAACAGTATGTATGAAGCCGCTTATCATGGAATTCCGGTCGTAGGAATGCCAGCTATGTTGGAACAGAAAGGAAATGCTGTCAGAATAGCAACAGCAGGCTTTGGATTACGTGTTGATTTCTATTCGTTCAAAGCTAAAGACATTGTCAATGCTGTTACTGAAGTGACTAAAAATAAAAAGTAATGGCCTAGCCGATATATACGTATTACTATGTTGACTAGCTTTGTAAATTTAATTTTTCTCTGTGATGAATACTGGTACCGTTTTGATCGACTTCTTTTTTAACAAATATTATCCTGATTGCAGATACAAAGAAGCAGCAATCAAAATTTCTACGATCCTTAAGAGCAGGCGTCGGCCAGGAAAGGATGCTATTGTCGACTGGACCGAATATGTCAAAGCAACTGATGGTGCTCATCATCTAAAAGTTCACGGCGAGACACTGTATTTTTACGAACTTTACAATTTAGACGTTCTCTTGCTTGTTGTTGTTTGTCTCTATGTAAGTTATCGAGTAGTATTAGGCTGTATGGGCATGTTGTGTGGTTCAACACCTAAACCTAAATCTGATTAGTGAGAATCAACTATGGAATGGAAATCTAATCTTGGATACATCTGAACGACAATTTTGTCACCTGATTATCTTGTATCCTAATTCATCTATTCAATCGACCTTAATCATGATAAAGCTATTGCAACTTATTACCTCAGGAATGTTTCTGCTTATATTTAAAATAATCAGAAATTCGATTTGTAGTTCAAATTTGGAAAATACGAATAGTTTGCTAAAGAAAGGTATATGTAGATAGTAATTGCTTTAATATCTTATCAACTATGAAATCTATTTCATGAACAACACCAACGAATATTGCTCATAGCTATTTACTGTTTGTGTGTCGTTCTTATAACTTTTGCTTTATGCAAACGCATGAATCTGTGAAGGAAGAATGGAAATATAACTCATTAAATAATGATTCCTTTGTTTTTTCTACCGAATCTATTGAGGATTTGCTTTGCAATACCAATCGAAAATATTGCTGATGTCGTACATACGAGTATGTGGTAAACTATTGCGATAGTGGAACTGATGATGATAATAATGTTATTTAAGTAAGTGTTTTGCGTATTTATATTATTGCTGCAAATGTAGTGTCAAATAATATTGTATTGTCTTTGGAACATTTTATGTCAGAAACAATTGCATTCATTTTTGAACGGTAAGGAGAATTGCAAACGTTGTTGTTGATATCTTGCTATTAACTTTTCGTGTTGTCTACATTACAATGCGTACGTGTACTGTATAGTAGTATGTTAGACCTATTATTTATGATAATTTTACACGATACATATTTATTCTACCATTGAACAGGAACTAATTTACAGTTAGTAGCAAGCAAAATAACATTAACATTTATGTGCAGAACCTTTATGCACCAATTCCTCCACTTTTGGTCTATACAGTACTGTATTGTTGTAAAGATACTTCTCTTGCAATTATAATTAGCTATACGCATATTCAATAAAGATGAAATGAGGGAAATTCATTCCAGCCTTTCTGTCATCACCTGTATACTGAATGACATCCATCGATCCCACTCAAGACCAAACTAAGAATATCTTATCCTTTGCCAATATTTATTAGCAATGCAATAAAGTTTATCCATTATTATCAATTCCCACTGTTGTACATACTATACTCGCTCAAGCGGCTCAACGAACAATTAATTATTGCCAATTGATGATTAATTAAAGTCGCCGCTAAGATGCTCGTTTATTCCTCCTTTCTTTATTTGCATACTCCTGATCGCATAGTACTGTATAGTTGATCATCTATTGGAGCAAATAGTAAAATATCGAGATTGTCTTACACCTAGAATTTGCCCTTAGCTCCGATATTTTGAATATTAAGCCTCAGTCAGATCTGTAACGATTTAACCCTTTAATTAATTAAATAAAATCCGAACGATAAACAGAATAGAAATATCCGTCCGTCTGCTGTCCTTTGTTTTATTGACTGAATACTGAATAGTGTGTACTGACCTGTACAGAATCCTCAGCGTTGTTACGGTCGTACGGACAGCGAACTGCATAGGGTACAAGCTCGTTACGGAGTCCCAGTACGCTACTGGGCCATATCATTTACTTTCCATCTGGATTTATATCTAAGTTTACTCATAAACATGATAGCGTTACTACAGTACTATACGGTACCAGGTATCGGATGGAGTTCCAGTAAATGAGTCCATTAATGGCAATTGGTTGGAGTTAAGCAACATGGACGCAGATTGGGAGTCGTTGCTTTTACAAATCTATAATTTCCTAGACAATTTCAGAGACATAGCAAGTTCGCATATGGTCGATTTTTTTACTCATGATCACTGGCAGACTAAATTAGACGATGCAATGGCAAGGCAATTGTTATTACTCAGTGACGAAGAATTGATTCAAATGCCTAGTGGGGTTTGGAAGCCAGCTCAGCATGTCTCTAGTCGATTGGATGATGTTGCATATCACGTAGCAAAATTTTCCTTATTAACAGTAATAAAAGACGATTACTATCATGAGATACAGCAAAAATTAGATTGTAAATTTATTAATCATTGCATGAAACCGAAGAAATGTCACGAAGTGGAACGCTTATCTTGTGCGATAGCAATGTTGTTGAAGCAACATCATGTTTCCAAGGTCCGTTGTAGTTTATTGGTAATCGCGGCTATTGATATACGCTAATATATAATTGTTTATTTTCGGCTTTAATCAAGATATCCCTTGATCATGATTAAAACATCGTTATTCTTTATCAGATATCGTTGATGGAAAAATTTTTAACTGTCAATTAGTAACATATTTGCATTCAAATGCAGTCAGTTCACAAATCTTGCTATCTGTTGTCAAATGAGTGAATGAAGGACCGACCTACTTCTTCGGTAGTAAATTAAATTATACGCGTATATAATTATAATTACACTACACAACAATTAATGAGTAATAAGAAAATGCTGTAATGATTTTACTTAGCCTCAATTTACTTATTGTTTAGTATTTCCGGTTCAAAATGTTAATGTGTCCCATGCTTACGACGATTATAGTACTTTCTAACTATAAAATAGTTTGTAGTAATTTAAAATTTATTATATCCATGAGTACATGCAATTAAGTTGTACTTATGATAGTCTTACTATAACAGTTGAAGTGACCATAAATGACAAAAGAAACATACAAGTAGATAAATCGTGGCTTTCTGCAACATCTGTATGATGAAACTTGTAATTTTCTTGAGCCCTAAGTTATGTATTGCATTTCTGACATCTCTGCATATTATACTTATTAGACAGACGCGATGTATTAAGGACATTATTATATAACTATCGAATTTTTATCTTATTTCTTTACAGGTATTAGATATTGGCAGTGGAAAAGGTTACCTTAGTGAATATATGGCTTTAAATTATAACGTGGAAGTATTAGGTATAGATAACTTAGAAGAGCATACTGAGAGCGCTATGAAGAGAAATAAGAAACTATTAAAATTATGGCCGTCTATATCTCAGGCCAGTAATCCTTTAACGAAATCTTCAAACGGACCCAGCAATCCTGGTGAATAGTAACAGTATTGATTTTGTAACAGTGTTGATTGCACACGGTATTTTCGTTGGCCCTTCTGCATTGCTATTTTGTTACATTTTACGTACCTTAAATTGCTACTTACTTGTATATTCTATTGTAGACTCTCAAAAATAGTGATTTCAACTACAATTTATTGTTATGATTGGCAAACAAATTTTCAAGATTTATATAAGAACATTGAATCTGACTGTTTGTTATTTTTATATTATTTTCTAATAGGTAGCATGCGATTAAAAAATGAACGAAAATCACTTAATTCCTTTATTCCAATTACTGCAACAGTCGACACAAACTCGTTACATACCAATTGGTTAATTGAGAACTTAGAAAAACATTCCAATGGAAAATTTAAAGAACAAGATGTTAGCCGTACTATTAGCTATTTGAATAGAAATTTTCTTTTAATGTATAAATCAGTTATAATAGTAAGCTAAAATGCAATAATCAATCTCTAATAACTTTTGCAGTTTCTTTGTCGTAGCCTACTGAGAACCTATGATGTAGATAATTTACTACAAATGCGCGTAGCATCTGCCTCAGTAATTTTTGCTGTAATTTAATCGCTAACAATTACAGTATATAGAAATTGATAAAATTTGGCTACATATTCTACAAGTGCCTTGTCCCTATTATGACACTTCCTAAATTGCGATTATTTCTGACATAACAGGAATTTTGTTTGGTTGGTTTACATGCTTGCGGTGGTCTATCGCCTACACTCTTACGTATGTTTACTGCTATCCCAAATGCTAAAATTGTATGCAGTGTTGGATGTTGTTATCACCATTGCACTGAAGACATACCAGATGATGCAGGTTTGTTAAATACTGCATTTGTTTATTTTCATATTATTTAATAATAGAGACAAACAAAATTTTAATTTTTGTAGGTATCCAAGAGCATGAGGTAACTAACTTCCCAATGAGTCAAGTTCTTATTCAAAAGAAGGCTAAACTTGGTAGAAATATGCGCATGGTAGCAAGCCAAGTAAGATTGTCTAAACATTCTGAGCCGGATCAAAGTTTTTCATTATTATATAATAATAATACAGATCGACTATTTCGCTAGCCAAAGTAACTTCTTCCTTTTATGGAAAGGATAGCTACACTTTAGAAGATATAAATTTAAAGAAGTATCTCGTTAATCTGGTTTTTAGTTGTATACACATAATTAACATTGGTTAAAGTTAATATTCAGTAATATTTTATCACATTTACTCCCAACTATACAAGGCTACAAGCAGAATGGCAGAGTTAAAAGAGGTAAATTTTAGTATCATACCGAAATTGTTATTTATAAATCAACCATGATTATCTAAAATTTGCTCATTTTTTTATGCCCCTCTCAATGCAGATTCCGGGTTACTCCTTGTTTTGGAGGGCACTGCTACAAGTAATCAGTGATATTTAAATTATCATAAAGTCCCTTGATATATTGTTATCAATGCAGATTTGCTACTTTTATGGTCCTACATGATTTATTGCATTAGTAATTTCTACGTATTATCTAGGTTATCTTAAAGGAAAAATATGGCCAAGACCACAGGTAAGCTGCTTTATATTTCTGTTTTCTTCTAGTTCATAGCGTTGAGTAAAAATTGAATTTAATATTTTAAAGATCAATAAAATAGTTCATGCTTTGATTTCTTTGCACTCATTCCGACGTGTAAAATGTAGAGACTGTCATGTTGGGAAAATAGCCGTAAAGTGTAAGTCGTTTACCTCGTACGTCAGACGTGCATTAAAGAAATTTGGTCTAAGTAATGAAGAGGTAATTACACTTACTCTGAATGCTTGGTGAAATAATTTAGGTGCAGTGGTTGCAAGTTACTCAATGATTTATTATTCCATGTAATCTATAGATACTGATTTGATTTAAGTAAAGAAGTATTGCCACAAATAAGATAAAATAAATTTAGCCGTTGCAAGTCTCAACTCTTAATCTATTTATTTGATGGTTATATTGTATATCGTACCTAACATTTGTTCCAGATATCAGATGAGGAAATTTTAAGCTATTACAACGCTTATCATTGGCAAGAAAGACATATTCTAGCTTTCAGTGTGGTAATCACTCAATTGTCGAATAATATTAATAAACTATTGATGGAAATTAATGCTAAAATTCAATATTGCTGTCCCATTTTAAAATAGCTACGTTTAACCTTTGCTCAATGTATTGAAAGCCTGATACTAATCGACCGCCTTCAGTTCTTAATAGATCAGGTAAGAAATTAACTCTCTGATTTTAAGCCTGTTTAAAACAACTAGAAGCGTATCGCTAATTGTTTGGGAACTGCTGTATGTATAAAATTTTTACATATTAAGCAATTTCTGAGTTTATTAACATTCTCTGGAAGTGGAATTTACTCATTGAAAATCATCAGTTTTGTAGTCCTATCATACTATAATAACATTCTCAATATCAGATGAATATTTTGGAAAATGTTCAACATTATTGCTGCCATAGTTAGTATATTAATCATCGGAATTTGCAAGTAATATCATGACAACACATATAAGTAAGTGAATCAAATTTGCGAATTTTATGTTTACAAAATATTTCTGTGATTTGGCTACTTTGGTTAGGGTTATGGTGATAGAGCAAGAATTGTGCGAGTATTCGATCCAGTCATATCTCCTCGCTGTTATGCCATCATGGCTACAAGATGATCTACATCTTGGCATTGTATTTTTGTACATAGTATAACAATGATTACATTTATAGCGTCAATATATACAAAAGATAAACAGTATTTATACGTATATACAAACAATTCCTTACAATAATGACGTTATGAATTCATTTTACGATCAGATATACGAGCTGAAAGATAGTAGTAAAATAATGTAGTTCTATCTTCAAGGCTATATTGCTAAGAAAAATTCCTATACAATACGGTTCATCTATTTTAGCACAGAAGTAATGGAACAGCACTATATTGTAATCCGCGTACTGCAAGCGTAGATGGAACTCATGATGGAAGTAAGGATCATGTCTATGTGCATGATGTAACTTGTCCACAAGCTTGTCAATTCATTTTTGTAAAATTATTACTGGACTACAGACTATTACAATACAACAATATGATGTTGATTGATTTTGGCACACCTCGATCCATGTTGAAGTCAAGTTACATACTGTCTAATAACATTGTAGGTGTTATTTGACTCATTTCCACATTATACAGTAATATTAATGAATAATAAAAGTGTCCAAGGTTCAATTGGATGCTTTAATCTTGGTTTGTGAGTCAGCACGTACTGGTGATAATCGAGGACCGTAATAATTCATCTGATAGAATGAACCATCCGCCGGGCCTACGACTTGTGTTGCTATTAGGATTACATCGAGTAATTGGCCAACCATAAAAAAACCAAAGGTAGACAACTTGAGTAAGCCCAAAGCTGGGTAACCAAGGTAAAATCGATCGGCACCAAACATACCCAGAAAGACAGATAAAGAAAGGGCAACTTGAAACGAATAGCCATTACTATAATGGCAGAATTCTTCTCGAGTAAAAGCGTACGTTAAACCATCGAATACTTTGCCATCACAAACAACACCGGCAATGGGCGAACAGTTGACGGTGACCGTGTTATTGTGGGTACAATTCGTGACAGTTTGAGTGCTGGTATTGACGGTGGCTTTTTCACATACATATTTGCCAACAGGCAATTGACTGCATCTTCCACTACCGTAGTCAACAGACGAAGTTGTCGCTGTAACCAGAGTGATTAAAATCAAAAGGCCATAAGTTAAAGCTGCTATCACTACCGTCTGAAATAAAGAGCGTGTCATTTTTCGGTTGATATCGGCGATACTATTCTAAGTTCTAGTCGATTGGGTCCATGTATTCTATCAATTGACATTGGCCACCACATTTGATGGCGAGACGAAGTAAATTTACTCCGACAGGTTCCGTACCAGTGGTGCTAGTACCGACTGCAGTGTTTCTCCTCGTTTCTACAGTACCTGGTGGTAGCGACGGTCTACAGTACAGTACTGTAAGAAGTGATTTCACTTTGAAATACAGTACTGTACTGTACTGCAGTGTTTCTCCTCGTTTCTACAGTACCTGGTGGTAGCGGCGGTCTACAGTACTGTACTGTACGGTAAGAAGTGATTCCACTTTGAAATACAGTACTGTACTGTAGTTCATCAGATGTTGCCGTACAGTATACAGTACAGTAAGTTGTTATCCATGTACAGTATTCTATCAATTGACTTTGGCCACCACAGTTGATGGTGAGGCGAAGTAAACACCGACAGGTTCCGTGCCAGTGGTGCTAGTACCGACTGCAGTGTTTCTCCTCGTTTCTATAGTACCTGGTGGTAGCTACGGTCTACAGAACTGTAAGAAGTGATTCCACTTTGAAATACAGTACGTACACTTGTACAGTACAGTAAGTTGTTGTCTATTGGGTTCATGTATTCTATCAATTGACATTGGCCACCACAGTTGATGGCGAGGCGAAGAAAACACCGACAGGTTCCGTACCAGTGGTGCTAGTTAGTACTGTGGACGTTAGCCAGTTTTAATGAACGAACGTACAGTACTGTACGAACGTCCAATTTGAACGTCGGACGTTCATTGAACGTACCAACGTACACAGTGTACAGTGTTAACACTACAGTATATACATAGTATACTGTACACTGTACAGTACAGTACGGTATAAGACTATACAGTACTATACACTGTACATACAGTAGTACGTAACAGCGTACAGTATACAGTACTGTAGTCATGACTCTGAAATACAAAGTGTTGTAAAAGACGTTTGTACTACTGTACTGTACTGTACAGTACAGTGTACAGTATGTATAGTATTGGGGTGGGATTATACAAACTGACTGTATACACTGTACTGTACACTGTACACTGTACAGTACAGTTCGTCGACGTCCGATCTGACAACGAACGTACAGTACAGTACATACCGAACGTCCAAAATCGAACGTCCGTTGGACGTCCAATCGCTCGACGTCTACAGCACTAGTGCTAGTACCGACTGCAGTGTTTCTCCTCGTTTCTACAGTACCTGGTAGTAGCTACGGTCTACAGTACAGTACTGTACTGTAAGAAGTGATTCCACTTTGAAATACAGTACTGTACTACAGTACAGTATAGTAGGACACTACCGTACAGAACTGTACTGTACTGTACTGTAAATTTAAATTACATATTCGCATAAAGCATCTTATTTCCAATCAAATGATACCAAATTTGTGTAACAAGGACTTGAAATTATAATTTCAAGTCATTTCAAACAGTGAGAAAGACTTACTGTACAGTATGAGACACCCTCAGTACAGTACAGTATGATTGTACTGTACACTGTACAATGTACAGCACTGTACTGTACTGTACTTTACGTCATCACGACCTGTGATCACTACAATACTGTACACTACACTGTAAACTGTGGTTCGTACTGTATCTCTGTCAGAGAACGAAGAGAACCTGCAATGGGTAGTGGTCGCACTGTATTCAACATTTTTCCACACGACCGACTGTACTGTACCCTACAGTCTCTCCATTGAAAATGTCACCTCCGTGCGGTTTGCACTGTACAGACAATCAACTGTACACACTGTACAGTGTACTGTAGACTACGGTACTTTGTAGTCATTGTTGGAAAGTACTGTAGGAGCCATAGACAATAGCATTTACACGACGCCACACCGCCATTCTTTTGTCGGATTGGGTCCAATTTTTTTGGCGCTGTCTGTACTGTAGACCTGCAGTGGCTCTACTCGTACCACAGTTGATTGCGACCCGACCATACTGTTCAATACAATACTCTGCAAGTTAGGTTGCGCTCATGCCATGCAAGAAAGCAATCATCCCTTTTCCCATGTCAGCGCATGTTGAGTGGTCGGTTAAAAATAGAAACTTCGTTGGTGAGGCTGCATTGAACGGTGAAGCGCAAACTGGACGACACTAAAAAAGACTCTACTATAAACAGGTCGGGAGCAAATTCATTACCTTATCTACTTCTAAATATAGATACTACCCCATCATCTATATACATAGAGATGATGATATTTATATGCACTTTCATTTTGTAAATGTTTTGAACTTTTTCTACAACATAGCGTTGAAACAATCTCCTTGCCAATGAAACATAATGCTCTATTTTTCATCTTATTCTACTGTAGTGGTTTTGTGATTCTCTTGTCAACATGATTGAGATGTTGTTGTCATCACCATGGTCCACTTTTTTTTTTTCTACGTTACTTCTCCAGTAGTGACGATCTTTTAAATCATGTTGGAAATTTTTTCTATTTCAATCGTATTGGATATCATCCACGCTTCAATTAACTTGAGCAAATGTAGTAAGCGCCATCATCCTGTTTTCAATGGCACGATCTCACCTATTTTGATCAACCATGGATAAAAAAATTAGACTTTTGACTGACTTGAACCACATTGCAGTACCCTTCGAACTTAGGTGTATACTGTAGTACAGGCCTAGAGACGCGTCTGTGCGTACTTATCAACTCATCATCAAACTGTCGGACGTTGCCGGTCATCTTTGATACTAGTCTATAGTGGACTTCCGAAATCCAACTTACAACTTGGAAAATCATCGGAGAAAAAAAAATCCATTTTGAATTGGCTTTCTTTTCCTCTAGACATGGTGTGATGGATGTCCTTAGCAGCAGAATTGTGCCATTGTACCTTAATAAGTGTAAACGCAACCAAGTTATCCTGGAGGTTAGGGCAAATCGGTTGACCTGTACACAGATTACTTCCACACCAAGAAGATCAACCCCAATACTATTGAAACTACTCTTTCCCATAGCTATCCCAAAAGGAAAAGATTTTTTGCCCTAATGATAAACAGTAGACTCCCTTACACGATAGCAGTCGATACAAAAAAAAAGGACAAGATCAATTCGAAAGTTACGTTACTAAATCATGTCCAGGACGTCAATTGTAACCCCTAGACGCTGCAACTTTGATCGGATGGTCACTAGGACTATCGGATATACAAATACACTAGATACACGATGGGAAAGAACGTCGGTGCATCAATCGTGAACTTACAGTCTTGGCCTATCCAGTCGACATTAAGCGATATAGTCATATATATATATATATCAGTCATACTATGCAAGATATTGTTTGTACCCGTTGTTTATTCCAACCATGTTACGTTATTGTAGATCATTGGGTTATGAACACTTTGGCGTACTTTTAAATAGTGAAAAGTTTATACATTTTCCAGCCCATATGGTTTTAGACAGATTCCAAGATATTGTTGTCCAAAATGATTCTAAAATACAACCCTTCTTGAATATACCAATGGAAAAACTTTTCTTACTATTCTCCTGCTTTGAGCAATTGATTTTCATAATTCTATACACAATTTCAAGTTAATAGTGATGATACGTAGGGTAGATTATATATTTTTAATCTTCCTCGCAAATAATCCTATACTGTACTGTCTTTTATCGTATTGTCGTATCGAACTGTACTACTTTGTATACTCATTGCATGCTCTTGCTACCTGTCGTTGATTGAAATTGCTGATAGAATAGCAATCTCATTCCTCAGATTTGCTCTGGTCAGGCTTATATTGTAGCTCATACACTATCGCTGTAGACGCAATGAAGAAAAGCAAAGGAAATACCCATTAGTTTTATATAGTCTTCAAAGACTTGACATAAACACAATAGCCTAACAAAAGTGATTGCTTTCCACTAATCGTCTTCTCATGTCCAGCTGCAGTGAACCATTTTGAATTGAATTCATTCATGTAGTCAATGAAGGAAGTAATACAGTATCTATACTGTAGTATTTCGAGTTCTACTATAGATAGGAAGCTCACACTAAAAACTTGTCTGTATGTATATCCATGGCGTTGCAAGCATATTCTACTTGACTGCTTTATCAACATGGATTCGTAGCGTACATTCGTTGTCACTACTGTACAACCTCATCGATCCTTATTCTATTTATGCCTTGTAAATTATAATCAGGAAAAAAAATTCAATTTTCCACATAGTAAATGAAAGCAATCCTTTTTCAACTGAATCACTATGACAGCATTGTATCATCAACATCGCACTGAAGACTATTAGTATCAAAAAGTTTCACACTGAAGTCGTTGTTTTGAATCGACTGTGGCTTACACTTAGCTGGACATTCGTATAGCGGTATGATAGTTCAACATGAATCTATGCTCTAAACTGCCTACAATAGGGATAATGCAGTGATGCTGTATACGGCTAGATCGCACAGTCAAGTTTCACTAGGATACAAAAACCGCTAGATTTATAGCTTTTACTACATTAATACTACTTAGAAGTACCTTCCATAAATCTACCGAAAATAGACAATGATCGTGTCTTGTTTCTGTGAAAACCACAATGAATTTTATTCGTATGACCAACTTGAAAAGGCTGCTGTCTGGTACTGCAGCAGGCGGGTAGTAGTAATATATCTCCTGCATAAGAAACTCAACTTTTTTGCAATAAACTAGTGTATTTTAATTGTTCGTCTAACATGCAACGAATTCATAGAATTATCAGCGACTTTGGGGGAATTATCACTGCATGCCTTTTATTAAGGTTAAGCCCTACACTGACTGTTAACATCATTCACCAAACAACAGCCATCGAGTAATGCCTTAATTGCTTGCATTAAGAATTTCTCTTTTATATTTCCCTCCTGTCATGTGCACAACAAAATGATTGGCAAAGAAAAAAATAAGTTACCAATCGTATTATCGTAAATATTCCAATATTGAAATGTTGGCATGATGCTTTGTAATGGCAGTATCCACTATATGGATCGAGGCACCATATTTGCATCTATTTGTACCTTCATAACACAAGTGAATGGAGTAAAATAGTCTACATATGGCATCGTAAAGCAGATTTGCATTCAATAGCCTGCCATCGGACAGTGAATAGTTGTAAACTTGTAAACAATGCTTATCCTGCAAGTCAGAGAAATAGAAATGTTGATCATTGCTTATATTGTTATTGTCGTCCATTCAATGGTCACACAGTCAATTTTCACTTCTATTATCATGTACTTAATCTAGTGAATGCTGCAAAAGATAGAACTGCAAGCCAAAGATCAATATTTGGTTGAGTATTTAGTATTTACTACGACGCCTCATAATACGTATATTTATGCTTGAACGATAAAGCTATATAGTGTGGACGACATCCAAATGATCAAGCATTAATGTATTTTACGCTACCAATAGACTAGATACTGCAATTCAATGCTTACTTTTGAATCACTACAAACGTTGTGAAATAAATTGGTTGATTAGTACCTGAAAATAACTGGATAAAATCGAATACGATACGCTGTACGCTGGTCGAGATGTATTAACTGTGAATACCATTGTGAATGGATCAGATGTTAATTTGTTCAGTTAGCGTAGAATCAAAAAAGCCGCTGAGAGACCAATAGATTCTACATCGTATAATTGACTGTAGACAATACTCTCAATGCAAGATCATGCTGAATGAATGTTAACCTTACTATCCAATGGACAATAATTTTAATGACCGCCGAATGTTCTGATTATTGATTGATTTTATCTATCATCATAGGAAAACTTGAAGCATTATCCACTAGAATGGGAAGGAAAAAAATTAGCATTACTAGAATTGGTGACGAACGTAATCGTCAGGTTAGTAACAACTCCTGCTAATGAGCTGTTCAACTAATAATAAGGATTCCCCCTAAGAAATGCTAATTACTTAGTAGAGGCAATTCTTTGAAATGTTGCCGCGGTATTCAGTGCGTAATAAAGCGCTCAATTTGTTGTTATTTATTGGTTGATAAACCATTTGGTACCAGTCTTACGAAACGCTACTTTACATCTTGTTGACTCTTGTCTACTTGTCAGTTATATTGGTCTTTCATATGATAAGCGTAACTGGATAGCACTTGTACGAAATAATATCGATCATGTGGAAAATAAGACAGTTATCACTTCATCTGAACCTTATGTCACTATCACTAAATATCAGATGCTATTCTGAGAGACAGGCTATCTAGAGCCAACTTGATTATCTACTTTTTCTAATTGTCAGTATATTAATTGTTACTTTCTGTTGATCGTCTTCATTCTCACTTCTAATTATTAACCGTTACTTGTTTGTATTCAAAATCAATATTATTCGACGTTAGTAAGATTTAGATATACTGCAACTATTACCCTCACAATGGACTAGTACAGTACTTCTTCCAAAAAATAATAATTTTGAAAAAATTCTCCAACGTAAAAAACCCATTAAGCTAGAAGACGATATGTCATTCCTCACGAAACTTACTGATATACAATATTGTACTCGTAGAAGTATTGTATCACCTTATATCTTTGTCTCTTACGACATTACCTGATGTTCAACTACATTTCCCATAACTTTACTATACTTGATCTAACCTGTATCAGGTCTACTGTACTGGAAGGAACACTACTTCATTATTAAATATAATATGCTATCATGGAGCGCCACTTATAGAATTATCTTACAATGAAAGTATGCCGTACATTGACTATTGTTTCTTCTTTAGCACATACTATATATGATGTAGCAAATGCAGAAGTCACAGAAACGATGTAAATGAATAAGTTTACAACATAATACCGTGATTGTAGAATAAAACGAATCCAAGTAGTAGCCAGTAGATATGGTATAGTTTGAAATTCTTTCAAAATCTTACGTCATGACTTTCCTGCTTCATGATTTACGTACGCGTAGTATCATCTCTACGTGTTGCGATTTATTTTACTTAGTGTGATCGCGTAATAACATAACAATGTATGGTTATATTTCCGAACAGTTGCTCGTGTATTAGTAACATCAAAAGATTTCATTACAACTCAACATGTATCTGGAAATATAATTTATTGACCCAACTATGTCAAAGGCTGTTAGTTTAAGACTTTATCTTCCCTACAAAGTTTACCTAATGTACAATACACCAAATTTAATAATAAATATTGACTTGAATCTGAAATTTATTGTAGTATTCTAATAACTCAATAGCAGTGATTTGCAAATGTAGCGACCATAGAGGTGAAGGCCTTTTTACCTCTTTGGTAGCGACTAAGAAATGGTGTAATGTCTTTCTAGCCAAATTAGTATCTATATTTCATGATCGAGTACGTATTTTGGAAAAATATCTACGGTAGAAATACCGAACGATATATGACACTAGTATCATGTAGGACATGATGACATAATTGAAGATGTTTCAAAAATATCAAATCTGATATTCTGTTCAAAAAAATAGAGGGAATAAATGTGAGCCTAAAATTAATGTAGAAATCGTACCTTTCATAAAATAAGGGTATTACTTAGCTATTAACGAAATCAGATGCCATTTTTGATATCAGACTAATAGCTATGCTGTACTTGTAGTCATTTATTGGACTGGGACTCTTTGGGTCAGATGTGTTATCTTATAGTACGATTTTTAACCATCTAATAGGTCACCTTTACGAAACGGAAATTTGGTCTTATGAAAAAAGCTTATGAACTTAGCGTTTTATGCGACTGTCAAATAGCTTTAATAATTTTTAACTCCAATAATAAGTTATTTCAATACGCAAGTAGCGATATGGATTCCATTCTACTGCGATATACACAATTTAATGACCCACATGAAAGTCGTACAAATGATGACATAATAGAGGTTTGTAAATTTATATTTTGTATTATTGTAATGATGATATCATTGTAAGCGACCGTTAGTGCATTTAACCTACGTAAAACTGTAAATGTAAGAGGCCTTGAATTATGCTATTACCAATGCAGCGTTAGCTACTAAAAGTTTGCTTTAAAATATGCTGGAACATACGTAATACAGTTTAAAATCATCGAAATGATGTCGAATGCACTGTTTGTTTAATTTTGTTACGCTATTTGTAAATAATTGAAATCTAATGTATTACCTAGACTCTTAACAAGAAAGACAGTAAAGGATTGGATTCTGGAGATGACGAGCCCGACGTAAGTGTGATATATGTACAAGCGACAGAAATAATCGTACTTACGTTATTCCATTGTGAAGTCCGAATAGATTTCAAGTGCTATCAATTTACTTTAGCAAGTAATACACGTCATACATGCGTGCTGTGTAACCTAGATCCTTCAATTTAATTTATTAATACCGTTGATTATCCTTTAAATGACGTTATCATCTTCATAATACTGTATTAAATTTACATTATCAATTCTTAATTTCTATTCTTAATACCTATAGTACACGCTTACTCCTAACACCGAAGCCAAATATAATAAAATTGATCAAGAGTTTGAACGCGTTATTCGTAATCCTTTACAAGGACCGGTATTGAACGATAAATAGTTCTGAATATTGTCTTTTCCTATATGCATTAAGTGGAATCGAAAGCGTACGCCTCTTAGTACCTACTAATTATAGGAAGTATTAAAAGTGACTTTGACTCCGTTGTATAGGGTGTAGGTTCAACGGGTGCCTTCTCACAAATGTCAGTATCTGTACCTGTTGGACAGGGTGGAATGGCTGGTTCAAATTATCAGCACAGTCAGCCAGGCACAAGCAATACTCTCCAAATACAGTCTAATATTCCTCTTGGTGGCGATTCGCGAATGTTGACTACTGGAAATGTTATGACTAGCATTTCACAATCCAGACCTATTCTTAGAGGAGACGTTGTGCAGAGATTCGCACATATTCAGCCCGCGAGAAGTTCTAATCAACATTATGCTGATCAGCACATGACTAGTAAGCTAGGAGCTTTTTCTCAATTTTAACTCTTGAGTGATGGATTTGATAATATTAGAATATTATTGTTGATCCGATGTTGCCTTGTAAAAACAGTTTATTTTTAGTAATGATGGCGATCGTTATGTTACAGTATTTTAAGAATTATATAAACAGTCAATAATGGCAGGAATTTGAACGCATATTTATTGTTTACAGGTGTTAATACTCAGCCCACTCGTGAAATAGAGCAGTCTCCTGTACTTACTAAGAAAACTCAAAGTCAGGAGAATTCTACGGTTGCATCGGTGCCTCGAACATCTAATAGTACATCAATGTCATCAACTTCTACCACGCCAGCTGCAAGCGCGAATTTGAATGACAATTCTAATAGCAATGCTGATGCTCCGTCTTCTAATAATAGGATTAATACTTCTTCCCGAACGAGCGCACCTTCAACCCATGAGACCACTCCTCATCCAAAAGGATCTAGACCTGAACTAAGAGTTATAATTCCTTCCAATACTAAAGTAATTACGCTATTATAATCAGATTTGTTGATGTAAATTGCTTGAGGCAAAAATTTCTAACCTTATTGATAGATACCTTATGGTCCTCAGTCAGATGTTCCTCCTGCTTTAGCAACACCTGTCATTTCGTTAGCAACTCCAAGCTATCCAAGTCAAATGACTTTCCTGCCCCTTACGAATACTGACTTTCCACTTAGTGCTGATATCACCGTCTTAAATTCTCCATCGCCGTGGCAATCATCAGGATTACCGCAAGTTAGGTAATTTTTTATTTATTAGACCTGTTTTATGAATGTTTATTGAACACTATTTCAAGACTTGCTCATATTTTAACTTGTTTCTAATTAAACTATTTATAGCGCTTCGGGAGTTCTATTGTCATCAGGCATTAATCAGTCAACATCAGTTCCTACTGGAGGATCTAGTTCGATAATAAATTCTAATAAGGTAATGAGATTGCATGAGGAGTCATTGCGGAGTCTTGTTACAACTTCTTATATAATCACTGTAAATTTGGTAAACTGTCAGTATTGTTTATATTCTGTATTTGCTTTACTAGGTTCAACATTCATCAGGTGTAGAAAGTAACTCTTCACAAATGCAATGCCTTGGGGAAGGTGATAGAAATGCTTCTCTAAGTAAGCGCCCAAAACTCGATCAAAATTAAATGTGCTATATTAATATTGTACTTACTCGTATACAGTGGTACAGAAATTACAATACTATAAAGTGTAGTAACAGCAACTAATTTTAGAAATTGATGTAATTCCATGTACCTTCATAGGTAATACATTAAATAGTTTGAACTCTCAAGTATGATTTATTACACTATTATGCTACATTTAGTAGACTGATAATAATAATACTCTTAATTAAGATTACTTTTAAGAATACTTAAATTAATTATCAGACGATAGCACAACCTGATAACATACGCGTAGATGAATCATTAATTCATTCCTGCAGATTACTCAAATTTAAGATTTAATTTCAAAATATTCATGCTTATTGACTTTGGCTGAGTATTTCTATGAATAGGTATCAGAATTTAACTAAATCACCTTTTAGCATTATCACAACAGTGAAACGCATTATTATCATAAGGCGATATATATATACGCGTATTTGCGCACCTGTTTTACTCATATATAACATTTGCTTGTATTATTTATGAAATCAATTCAAACCATGCCTGTAATACTCGTATTGTTAAAATATTCATTCGATACTATAAGTGCGACATCGATTTTCTGTAAGACTTTTACTTGTTACTATTTGATGTTGGTTCAGAGAAGATCATGATATACCAGTATAGCCTGCAAATTGCGATATCAACTTATTGATGTTGTCTCAATGGACAAGACGAAGCACTGATTGTATATTTCAAATACATTCGTCGAGTTTTTAGCGGAACTTTATTTGTTGTATAGCAAGCGAATGAGCGATAAATTATTATCAATTACAGCTAACCCATACTGCAAAAAGTTTTTTGGTGCTTTGTGGTAAACCTGTATTGGAAAGCGATAACTATTATCATAAGTCTTAACTTATGATAATGCTCCACATCACTCTAAAAATTAAAGCCTTTGTTACAATTAAATAAAAGCTTCTTTGATGATCTCGCCCTCAAATTATGATGTCTAAGAAATCACAATGAGGCTTTACTACGACAGTATAGTAAATTAAATTATGCCAGTATATATTCATCGATATTTTGGACAACATTTTAGATAGTGTAATCTCAACTTTACAGCCCATAGCAGAATTAACTTTTACGATAACTGCTTTTTGTCAGTGATTAATCTACAATTCCTATGCTTCATGTATTATTCACTCTTCTAGATTGCATGGAATATGATAATATGTGCTAATCACTAGTCACTAGCGCCTATGTTTATGATCGATGAGCCCATTAATTAGGTTTGCACTCTTGTCTTCCAAAGATATACTAAATAAAGGTACGTAAGTATGACTAAATGGTGCTATTGATAGCTAGTTACATCCAACTTGTGGTATGCTGCCTACGCGTATAGGCAAAGTAGTACGGTATGGTATTTCAAATTGATCAAGTAATTTGCATAAACACTGCAGTAGCTCACACTTCTCTTCTATAAGTAGTACGGTAGCTGGATGATTAACGTTCGCAGGACTATAATTACCATGATCATCAATTAATCAAATAACAAGCCATTTTATTAACATTTTAAGTTTGAGCAATTGACATCTATTAGCCAGATGTGATCGCGCCTAAAAGACTTTTACGATACGGTATCAGAAATATATTACCCTCCTACACTACATTGTTCTACCATAGTTGAAAGCATATAAATGGGGTATTGAAAATAATTAGCATTCGATGAAGCTTATGGCTGCATGCGTAAAGCACCATCCAATCGGATGACTTCCCCATTAAGCATAGGATTTTCAATAATAGACTGAGCTAACTGAGCGTATTCATCAGGATCTCCAAGGCGTGAAGGATATGGGACCGATTTGCCCAATTGTTCTCGGACTTTCTCAGGTAATCCCATCAACATTGGCGTAAGGAAAAGACCTGCAGAAGGATGCGATAGAAAGTTACCATTTTATTGTACATTGGAACAAAGCAATAGAAGGATAATTTGTTACTGTCGACTTGATAGCATATGCAGTAAATTATAACACTTTTACTCATTTATTGAATAAGTGTAGTTGTCGCTGAAAAGTCAGAATACTTCTGTCACTTAAATACCACCTACCGGGTGCAATAGTACAAATACGAATTCCGTTACGAGATAAATCCCTAGCAATAGGCAGAGTCATCCCAACTATAGCTCCTTTTGAAGCCGAATATGCGGCTTGACCGATTTGTCCATCATAAGCAGCAACACTTGCAGTGTTGATAATAACTCCACGTTCGTCAGGATTGCTTGCACTAGCACCAGGTGAGACATCACCCTGAATCATTTCTTGGGCACATAGTCGGATAACATTAAAAGATCCGGCAGTATTGACCTGCAAGCAAGCTCAATATTAGCTATAGTAACTCAACGCATAGCAATACCTTTTTATAAAGCTACAGTATATAGGTAAATAATTCTTGATATTTTAGTTACTGCTACAGTATATTACACAACTTGATTAACAGCAATGCATGATGTAGTATGTTTTGACTCTAGTTTTGACGTGTAAGCATACCGTACCAATAAGACTTTGGCAAAGTCATCATAAGGATGAGGGCCTCTCTTTGTAAGAGTCCTAGTAGCTATAGCAATACCAGCACAGTTAACAACAGCACGAACACGACCAAATTTTTCTTTAGCAAGTTCGATAGCATTGAGTACGTCTTGTTCCTTGGTCACCTAAATATATCCATAGCATGACATATTAATTTATATATTTCAAGAATTTACAATTTTCTGTAATCACGGAGATAATAATACTAGGAGCACTAGAATCCTCGATTATTACATTTGATTTTCGTAATTGACATTGAAAGAGGATTAATATGTTTATTGGAGTAGCCAAAGTAAGAAAAATACGGTGTGCGTTGGATTTACTACCGAGATTCTGACAATATTATTCGCATCTATCCCGTGTACTCCTAGTATGATTGAAACCAATTTCAATCTACAGAATTGGAGAGTGACATTAACCACGATGATAAGGCGAATAGAAATGGTAAAATTTTAAAAAGTTTTTAAAGTTCAGAATTAAGATTAAAGCTACAAATTATGTTAGTTATCAGAAGAAAAACTGCCAAGCAAAGGCCAGCATGTCCGCGTCAGTTGGTAAGGTAGAGATTGAAAAATAAGTTCTTTTCTGAGATACATAGACTGGCTGGTAGTTCGTTTACATGTATTTTATCTAATGGTTGTCTACGCATATAGTATTTACATGTTTATCATCGAACATCTGAATAAAGTACATTCAGTATCACTGAACCTTGACTTCATGAAGGCTCAAATACAATAATATACGCGTAATACTTTGCTGTTGTTGACATCATCACTAAAATCAATCAAGCGTAAACAAGAACATTCACACTACTGTTCTGAATACTCGTTCAGCGCATAATCATACTATTTCTTTGCTGTAAATTAGAAGTGTCATGAAGATTAAAAGTGCTTATTTGCCAGCTTGCATGCAGAATATCGATCATCTAGATGTAAGCTTTGCAACGATAGACGGACGATACATGCGTACCTAATATTGATGTAGCTAAAAGTAAGGGGTTGTTCATCATTCTTCATTTGCGTCTAATTGATGATTACCGTTAGTATGTATAATGTATGTATAGACACGATGATTTCATACTGATCCGTTACAACTACAGTAACGCCTAGTAACGCTTGCCCTAGCTGTTTACGTTGAACTCCGTTGCTTATTTTTAGTACCGTAAAAATGGAGTAAAACTGCTGCACTCATGTTCATTTTATGGACGTAGTAACGCTGTAAAAAATACATGTAATCCATGCATTTAACAAAGGGAGGAGTGATTGCGTACAAAATACTCGTCTCTATCTGTATTTTTAGGATCGAATTATGTAAGGCTTTGCAAAATAATTTCAATTTCAATTTATCCTTCCATTCAGCTGTTAATGCAAAGCCTGCTGCCTGGCCAGCTACCTCCTGTAGGCTAAAAATGAGTGTCCTCGAGTCCTGTCTGAAGGTGGGACATTGGACTTTTTCAAACTATTGCCATTGCATGCAAACTTACATCGGTTGGGGCAAAGGCACAGCGATCGCCAATTTCTTTCGCAGTAGCATCCCCTTTACTATTGGGTAAATCTGCAATGATTACTCGAGCACCATTTCTAACTAAGCGTTGAGCAGTAGCTCGACCTAATCCAGATGCACCGCCAGTAACGAGTGCAACCAATTCGCTAACAACAGACATATTGAGTTGGAGTTGTCAAGTTTGTATCGTGCTGACTTCGATCGACCACTTTTGGCTTGATGTGTCACCAGATCGCTTCACTCGGTTCATTATGAAGTGGTAGCACGGGTCACACCGACTGTAGCAGTGTACAGTACACTGCTGCATTGATTCATTTTTGACCATGCAAATCGAGCAACCCATGGCAAAAGTTCATGAACTTTTCAGTGATTCATCAATCATTGTACTGTACACTGTAAACCCTTCCGATTTTGACTAAATGTTCAGATTCTACAGTACTGTACTGTACAGTGTACAGTACGGTATGCTGAAACGTCTCCAATGATTTGTTACATTTCAGAATACTGTACAGTACAGTATTGTAGAATTGCGAACATTTGAGACGTTTCAGCATACTGTACTGTACAGTACAGTACAATATTACCTATTGCTGTATTGTGCTTTACAGTGTACTGTACTGTACAGTGTACAGTGTACAGTACTGTACACGGCTTGAGTACCGTACACCCTGCAGCACTGTAGGTAAAAAGCAATTTTATCCCCAAGAGATCGACAGCAATGACTGCCAATGAGGGATTAGTCGATATTGCCGATCGTCCATCATCATGGACTTCTAAATGAGAAATACATCTTATTCTCTTAGGGCTTACAAAGCTTTTGAAAATATCGATAACCTACCTGTAATGGAATAGAGCATGATTACCGATACACTAGTGTATCGATATTGAGTATCATACTACTGTATTTGAGGAAGACAGTAGAGTGCACTGTAGTAATGTCTTGAGTAATGGTCGCTCGTTAACAAGAACCATTGACACACTGGACTTTTCTATTTCAGCAACGTTTATATCAATTAGCCTTGTCGCTGAAATACAACATGTCGACCTTACAAAAAATCCCTGATTTTAACCCTGTGATGATACGATATTGTAGTAATAGTAGTGTGCATGGATTACTCAATGTATCAGTGATCACAGTGAAGTTGCTGTGCTCGTATAATTAATTTGTGTCAATCCATCAGTACTCAAGTGGAGAGCGATACGATTGTTTCAATTTCACGCCTGTTTTTTCTAGCAAATTATTTTGTATCCAATCCGGTAGATGCGTATCATTGCAGATTGCCATGATCATAGTGTGCGAAACCAATCTGCCAGCTAATTTGCAGCAAGGTCGTCCACTGTACGCGTATATAAAGTTGAAAAGTAAAGTGCAGTGCTTCTATCAACCAACGATAAGATATTATACTTTGTAGTTAGAATGGACTTCAATTTGTGCTTAGCCAATGACAAGTTGAAAAGTTTAGTCCATAGTACAGTACACGTATATCTGTCAGTCAAGCAGTAGAATGGAATACTGAATAGTGATATTGGCTCAAGTTTCTGCCAGTCATTTTATATTATAGCTACTTACCAAGTTGAAAAGTTCACTACAGCATTCCTGTCAGTAAAGCTATAGGGTATTGTACTTAGCAGTTATGAAGGTAAGAAAAGCCGGGTGCAATCGCTAGCAGTTACCATTGAAGATGGAAAATTCGGCACAGTATTTCGGTCAGTGAAGAGATAAGATATCATGACAGTAATAATTTTTATACCTACCTGATGCATGCTTATGGCATGTTTGAATGGACTAGCTGTAAAATAATTTTGACCATTGACCCTAGCTAGCTGAGTGTTGCAAACGACGATATTGGCACTTGCGACCAGCAATTCCTATCAGGTTCTGTTGCCTTCAACAAGACAGGAACTAGCAAGCAAAACAGATAGAGACGTATAAATAACGCTGTAAACTAGTACTTGTTATGTGACCTCACTAGTCACTTACTGTAAGCTGATTCAGCAAACCTGCAGTAGAATGTTATGAACTATTTTTACTTAATAGTACAACACTCATTCTTAAGATTAGATTATGCATGAATAAAGTATGAATACACGTAACTGTAAGTAAACGTTATCTACCCTCAATTATCTTGTTTTCGTCTTCATCAAGAATATCTAACCCTAGAATACTCATCTCTAAAAATACCACAAGCATCTAAATAGTTCTTACTATTAGAGTTATCTTATTTCAGAAACCTTGTCTACAACAATCCTATCATCGACTAACATACCATTTTATAATGACAACCAATCAAGGTGTAAATCTTGTCAGGTGTATTGCTAGTGCTTAAATAGAATCTGAGAAATATACCAGATCTTATCACACAAATATCACCCATGTGGGCATGAATACCTCAAAATTAGTAGATTTTAATTTCATTTCCAAGCAGTCATGACGTGCATTTTAAATGCATCATCAATACAGTTTGATAGCTATGATGTATTTAATATACTCCCATAGCATTACTTGATCATAATTCTACCATATTTGTTCCATGGTAAGGAAATTACAACATATGCCAACGATAAATATTGTAATTGATTGATACTGTAATGCAGCTCCAGCAAATTAAAATTAATCAGTACTAGTAGCATTAAGCTTAATAAGCAGCTAGGAGAACTATACTATACCGTTTAATCTAAATTCCGTAATAGAAATACTATTAAAACAGATAAAATACCGTCGTCTATCCTTCTATTCAATTCTCTAAAATCGCTAGGATAAATTACCAACAATTACACTATTACTATTTAATTCTATACATAGTTCCAATTGTAGTAACTTATTCACTGTTGCTGGGTGCGCTCATGATACTAAAAAATTTCATCACATGAATAGATACATCCATAAAAATATCATTCATAAATCAATCAACAACCATTTTTATAATACTTTATCTAGTATATACGTATGTATGAAAATCACTTAGCGAATAATCTTCAAGCTCTAATCCACTTGTAATATCCTGACGTTGATTAACTATCGCTATAATTGTTACGACGATTCAATTTCAATTTCAATTACTGCAGTGTAGTAACTTTATAGGATTCTTTTATCGTAACAATAATGCCATTCTAAAGGCAAAGCTTATTTACATTTCAATATTGTCTAATTTATTGGCAAGATCAGTTTCATTGCCATCCATAGTAATAATCCATATAGGCAGAAGCAATCGTGTCGTAAACAACTGGAACAATTAGTATACCCTAAGCCGTTGGATAAATTAACCGTTTTTGCGCTAGAGTCAGGAAAAATTTCGCAATCCAAGATTGATCCAATGATAACTTTAATTGCTTCTGGTAAGCTATATTAAAATCCACATTAGAAAACTATCACTACATAATCCATATTTAAATGAAATCATTAACTTATAATCCACTAAATTGATAAATTATATAATCCTCTTTCCTGCATATTAGAGACAAAAAGGCTAATTATATATAACTATAAAAGACTAAAGTTAGCCGATTATAATTATCAGGGTGAAATTACCGATATTCAATCTACAGTATTTAGCTCCATTCACTTGCCTAAGACATTAATCGTTCTCTCATTATTACTTCTACAATAGAATCTGTTTAGTAGTCTATATTACTTGTACTTTCTAATTTTCATTAATCTCGAGTATAACGAAGAGCTGATAACTTGAACATGTTACTAACCACTACTGTACTGGCTTACTTATTGTGGTACGTAAATAGAAAAAAATGGATCCAATTTACAGAATAAACCTTCAATACTTATAATCTTTCTTGTGCTATGCAGCAATTAGACTCATGCTTTTATGCAGTAAATATATTCAACCACTGAAGGATAAACTTACCAAGCTTTAGCTTTCCGACACTCTTGTTTGGTAATTGCACTTAGTAACATGGTCGAATCCGCACTACAGAAAGGAATTTCATGACAAGCTAATGATAAGATTCCCGTTGAACAGTCCTTACTCACTCTAGCAGTATTTAGAATTGATTTTAGAGACGCAATACTCTTCGACTGACGAAGCAGATTCGGTATCATCCATTCAGGGAAAGTCATATTAGCCGGTAGATCAGAACATTCATCAATACCAAATGAATTAAATGGCGGTTTGACACATCTCGCCAAAGTATAATTGCTCACGCTAACATTACAATAACGATTCAACTGTATACCGCTATTGCGGCATTGATGAGAAAATTGACGACATTGTTTTATATTACCAATCATTATACTCTGTCTATCGCTGGAACATTTCGGCAGATTCGATTGGCATAGAATCTCCTTAAAATATCGGCTGCAGATGGAGTTTGAACCCAGTTGCTTTTCAATAACTACGTAATTGTCAATAAATTGATCTAATTTCCTAGCATTTTTACTTAATAGAAAAGCCGGAACTGATGAATTGTCACGGCAAAAGTTTTGAATCTTTAGCGGCGGTTGACGACATGAGCTTAATTGATCCAACGAGTAAGCAATAACATCTTCAGAAATTGATGCTACTCTTTGTCTGCGACTAATTTTATTGAATATCTACCAATAGAAAAAAAACATTCGATTATTAGAATAAGAGCATATCATAGGGTTGATAGAGTTCAAGTTATCGATGATTTGTCATCAGGTGATATACAAATTCATAACTACAAAAAAATATTTAGATCTACAGCATGGCTTGGCTATTTGTATTCCGATTATGCAGTAACTGCTATTTGATTCAAAATTATCATACTTTTAAATGATATAACAAAAATCTTCTTGTATATCTACACGTAGTCGTAAGTAAACATGACCAACAATGGATTACCATATGTAATCTTATAGAGTTAAAGTCAAACCTGACAGGAATGTCGTAAATTTATTTTTCTATAACTGCAAGCGATTAACGTTAAAGAAATCCATTCTTTACAAATTAGAATTTAATAGAATTATTAGAAATAGCATAACAGAGAGGTCAAGCTAATTATTCACTGCTCATTGAGTGCAAGTTAAAATGATTTTAAATGGACCATATTAATGTCACAGTATAGAAAAAAAATCGATTGGATTGTTAATTTCGTAACTTGATCTGAGAGTTCAATTTTCATCTACCACCTTAACTTACAGATAGTGTATCACATTTTAACGAGTATTTAAGTGCATTATCAATCACTATGTTAATTATACCACGATACTGCGTGAAATTCGCAGGATAAGATTTTCATACTGTAAGCTTCTCAGATTACAACTAGTTTATCAACAATTTTCTGAATGAATTTTGTCTTTTAAAATATCGTGGTTATAGTCAATAGCCTTAATAGCTAGTCAGTAACTAGATATCAATAGAACGCTATAGATCCAATTTCCTGCTGAAAGATTATAATTTTCTTCAGTTATTAGGGATGGAATGGATAGGGTCCCGCTTCAAAAACTATCTTCTACTTACTTGCTTCTTTGAGCCATGATAAGATTCCTCGTCGCGAGATGGGTCTTTACTATCGTCAAAATGATTGAATGGATCACTTCTAATATTGTTTTGACCATAATGGATATTTTGACATACACCAAAGCTAAGAAAATAAAGTAAAACTAAATTTGTTACCATCTTTAGATCGATTGTTACTTTGGACATTATGTAACAATCGCAAAGAAATAACTTCTATCGATTAATTTTTTTCTTCTTATAAAAACGTTGTCTTCCAATTTATCGTCAATTTCTTTGATGTGAGCGAAGATCAGGGCAAACAATAAAGGGAAAATGAGTAAGAAATTATAAATGCTAAGCAAATATATGCTAAAAAATAGTTAAGGATGACTAAAGCTTGAGGTTGACATAATAAAATGACTCAAAGTAAAGCATAACTGACGACAAAATGATATCATGCAGTAATTTGTATGCTGAATTATTGATAAAGATCTATTTTTTTTAAATTACTATCAGCTAAAGCCCACCTAAACTAATATTTAAGTTATTCCGTGACCACGTGAATTTTCCCAACTAATATTAATGGAGGCTTTCTAGTTATCTTTAATGTCAATAAGATAACACTAAGTAAATATCGTCCATTCACGTCATACATGATTGTAAATTAAATAACGGAGTTTTTTATTCATTAATGCCTTTTTTCTTTATTATTTTATTTCTTATACTTTGATCACTATGCTTAAAACATGACTTTAAAATCATCTACAATGGTAGTATGAAATATAGGCAGAAATGTGTTATTTCAACGGCAATGATTCATTTACTTTATACAATTTCAAGCATTGTATCTTTATTGGTGAAAAGAAATGATTCCGATAAAACTAAGAAATAAAAAAATTTTAAGAATGCCTAGAGATCGCAGTATTTATGGATTTATGTCTTAAAATCAACTGAAAGTATGCATTATTTAACTACGTATTTTACTTTATGTGAATTTAATTTGGCCAACATATTGCGTGGATTCTTCTCCGCTAATAAAGAATGCCGTCGACTTATCCATTTATCATCTAGATCATAAAATGATTTGAGCTCTGTGGAGATCGGTTTAATTATTAAAATTGATAAATTTTGCATGTACAAACCACTCATTAAATTATACTGGTCTGAAGTAAAACATTCTCCAGTGCTATTAACTACGTAAAAAATGGATTAAAAATGAAGAAGGGATAATTCAACCTACACTGCATTAATTCTTAATCTGTTGACATAAAATATTTACACCATTTGTTAATCTAATCTTACACCTACTCTTGACATTACTATAAAGTTATTTTTTACATTATGCCTCATCCGCATTCAAGAACGCTAACATTTAAAAGATTTTAATGTGACTCTTTATTGCCTACTACCCCGAGGAAATGGTTGGTTCATCGTGAAACTACTATATTCATATTGGAACAATAGAATGGAATGAGTTATAAACGTTAATATCGCAGCTAGTAATCAATAAATAATATCATAATGCCTAAAAAATAAGCGGAAATCTTATTAGCTTTCTTTCAAAAGTGACTGGATTGAGATGAATACGATTGAATATAGTTATTCAGTAACAGTAGCATACAAACGCACTGTTAAATTAAGAGTACAACTGATCCCATATGTATTAGTAGCGAGCACTCTAAACACTAATGTACGAATATTATGTTAAGAAGATAAAAAATTGGTTAACTAAAATTTATTAAAAAAGGAGTCGAAACGCTCTAATATTCCCCCCCCCTTAACACTTAAATTATATATGATGAAAATTGATTAACTAGCTTATATTACAACTGTAGTCGACTACATCATCTTCATGGCTAGTATCGTATCGAAGCAGAGGCTGGATATCATTACTTGGATAAAACCAACGCTTTACTACTTAGCCAGTAATATCTCTTTCATTCTTAAATTACTTAAAATTGACTATATACTATTAATTAGTTTGTTATTGACTGTATCGATGTATAGGTCACGATGCCATCTACAATAGATGAAATCGATCCTTATATTGATACATCGTACTTAATTTATGCCTTCTATATTTTCTACATTGAACCACTTATTCAATAATATTATGCAATATAGTTATACTGTAGCCTACACCAGGTTAAAGCAAAGGCTAGTGATAGCTATCTGACGACTGATATCTTCTCTTTTATTTTAAATTACCTAAATATTATCAATTTTAATTTATTAGCTGTAGCTATGGTCATGCTTATACCTTCCAAAACGGATGAAATCACTTTTACCTAACCAATGTAACGCGTACTGGCATAAGTTGAAAGAAGCAGTGATAATAACAGCTTACAATATTTCATCTACTGTACATTAGCAGTTCCATATTGAATCAGAAGACGGTTTTTGTGATCAATTCTCCACGTAAAACCTTAGAGTCAAACTCCAACTTATGATCTTTGCATATGTCCATATAACAATCTGTTGTACCGATTTATATTACAAAGCGATTACCAAATAAGAATTAACCCTACTCTATTTATGTAATTATCACATTCTATCCTTGGGCTAATCTATTACACAGATATATTATAAAAAATAAGATTGCTAAACATCTCGGCGTAATTATTATCATGCATAGGAATCTCGAGATTGCATCTAAAAAGCTAAGTTTAATCTATCAATATCAAACCGCGATATGAATAATTAAGTAATTAAAAAAATCTTTCTTGATATACAAAAGATCTATTGTGAAAGGAAGTAGGTATGATATCATCATAAGATAGTTATCAGCTTAATATTGTAGCTTATTGGAGATTAAATTAAATCTTAATACACAAAATTGCAAATTATTCTAGGTTTTTATTCAATTTTCGCTGTTTTTAAATTCTTTAAAAGATCTTAACTAATCATTCCTATAAGATTATTAAATCATTAAAGAGTAAATTCCTAATATCATCGCTGCTATTGGCACTTTGAACTAGGCACTTGATAGAATCTTTACATCAATTCTTGTATGGTAACAATTACCAGTACCGCATGCTATAATATCCATGTGCTAATTAATAATTACAAAATTTTCATTACTTTTCGTAGCATGGTATTCTCTAGCTCTCTAGGTTAGGTTATCACAGGTATATTATCATAAGAAATTATATATCTTCTTTAATTGAATATCTTAATGTAGGTAGCTAGCAAAAAACATGCTAAGTATGATGCTAAGTATGATAGAGTAGAGTCCATGGGGATTCCAACTGCAGCTCCATGAGATGCCGTCGTAGTACCTGTTAGAAGTGTGCATGTAGGCACAGTTATTCCAGCCGACCTATAAGCCTCTCCGGAAGGCGTGCACACTGTTGTGCTATTTGAATCAGGATACGCCGAGCAATTATAAATTATTCTATAGCTATTTTGAAGGCTACTTGGTAAACTGTAAATGAAAGTGCAAAATAAGAGTTAAAATAGAATGCAATCAAAGGAATATAATCAAAATTAGATGCTTAACTAATGACCTAGTTTGCATATTAATACAAAAATTTGAGATCTGTGAATAATGGATGTACTGAGGGCTTACCAATTGATAGCATCTTGACATTGCTGTTTAGTTACAGCTGAAAGTACTGTAGTCCTATCGCTACTACAGGATGGAATAAGAACGCAAGCTATATTGGTCCATTTAGTTCCACAAGTGCTGGTAACTGCCGCGTTAGAGAAAGCTGTTTGCAGTGCAGAAATTGCCACTGCACGAGCAGCTAAGTTTTCCACTGAATAATAATATGGAAAAGTAATGTTTGCCGGTAGTGCTTCGCAATATTGAGAACTGAATGTTCCTGCTTTAAATTTAGAACATGTTCTTAAACTAAATGTTTTTCCTGATTCATTGCAGTATTGTAAAAATGATTGGGGACCAAGGTTAGGAAAGTTACTACCGCAAGAGTTTAGTGCCGAACAAGCGCTTTGAAAATTTCCATTAGTAGCTGTTGAAGAATCTGCGGAACACTTGGGAAAAGCTCCTCCACAGAGAATGGTCTTTAATGCATTAGTGTAATTGCTACTTAATGTGTGTTGCAAAAGAGAGAAGCTCAACTGAACCGCAGAAAATGTAGCACCAACAGTGTCAACATAATATGTTGGCGAGTTATAATCCGTGCCACAAAATGATCTGACGGAACTGGGCAATCTTTTACATTCACCCAAATTACCGTTTACCCGACGACAGGTCGACTACTTCGGATTTGTCTAATATGCTCAACTGCCTAAATAGAGCATAGTCGATAAATTATACGTGTATAGATATTGCATACAGAATATTACTTTAAAATCGACACTGTAATATCTCATTGATACAAAAATGAACAAACGCATATTAAATTCGATATAGAATACTACCTACTCGCGACTTGAAATATTTTAAATACTCTACCTCCATAGCTAACTGTTCTTTATCTTTTAATGCTTCCCCTATGTTTGCCTTTATAGCCAAAAGGATAGCAAGTGTAGTTAACAAGAATTTCAACATCTTGATTTCTGCAAATAGATACGAGTTCGTATTAAAATTGAGAATATGGAACGATAGTATAATAGCTTCAACAGTGAGACCCCTATAATCTTAAGAAGGATGACGGCGTAGACGTAAGTAGACTAGCGGAGTAGTGGTGTCAAGGATTACATTTAAACAAGTTATCTAACTTGTTTACAGCATAACGATTGCGCACAACATCACTTAACACGTTCAAAAGTTAATATGAGAATAAATCTCTATGATTAATATTATATTCTACGAAGCTGAAATCAACATACTTAGATTTTGGTATTATTTAAGTTATATCTAATTTGCTGCTACGTATCATGTTGATAACAACAGCTTCACTACAACTTTATGGTCCTAAGTTACAATATGCGAAGAACCGTTGCTCGTTAATACCAGTCAGAACTGATTAATTTAATTACAATGATCGTTCCTATATATCATGGCCACTTTAGCATGGTGCAATTATTACTATTCTAATCAAGTATTTCGATGAACGACTATGGCTTATTGCCTGCTTGGAATAAAACTAGCGAACAACAAGCTACATGAGATAATTCATTCACAAAATCATCGCAGAGCTAAGCTTTATAATACCTTTCTATGGAGCCTATAATTTAATGAAGTTATGATTAGCATGAGCGGCCACAAGAATGAATCCAATCACTTTTAAATATTCTAAATAAAGGGCAAGTATCCCAATATTGTTTGTATTGAAGTTAATTAATATTATTAAAATATAAGTATTTGTTTCTTTAAGCGATATCTTCCTGCATTCTAACGATTACTGACATCGACGTGTGATTTTTGTTTTAACTTGGATCGAATACGGAATAAACCAATGTGAAATCTACTACCGCTATTCCTATTTGTTTCGCGATATAGATAATTTCGACGACGTCGAAAACTGAACAAGATGATTGGTGTTCAAATCTGAATTTAGAGAAACTAAATTTTACCAATAATAAAAAGTAAACAATTTAGACATGCAATTAACTGACTATGCATGACTATCGATGAAGTTAGGTAAATTTTAATTACATATTTCGATTTCTATAAAGTAGATCAGACTACCAACAAAATCAGTCTGGATTACTTCGCCAGAACAATATGCATCTTGGTAGAGCTTACATGGATCTAGTTGGTTTAGAAGTTATGTACGCGTATGCGAGCATTATAAAAGCTTTAAATGTCGTTGTCAGTAGTCAAATTACAATCAATTACTCAGTTAATAAGAATAAATCTACGTGTACACCATAGAAATATATTTACTTCTTTATATGAACGCACTATTTAGTGATTATTGATAACATTTACTTGCCATCCTGCTATAGAAGTAGACTATATTAATTTAGTTATTAATGTAGTTGAAATAAAGAGAACTGCTAATACTATCGGTTGTCGTTACTAATTATACATCTCGGTGATTACGAATGAAGGATTTCAAATGGTACAATTGACAATTCTTGTAACAAGTAATCGTTTTATCGTTTCAAGGAGTGTAAGAAACTGAATCACATTATTGCAGACATTTTACGGTGAAGCTTCGCTTAAACGGAGTTAAAATTAGGACCGGCATAATATCCATATTAAAGTTTATCATCAGACTAGTCTTTACCAAAAAAAAAGTATGTCTAGTATTGCATTAATGATCTACGTACCAGATTTGATAGAGCAGTCTCTAGAATATTTTTAACGGGCAACAGCGTATATTTGGCAGTCCGAAATAACTTGTAACAAAATGCTAGTTGTATTGGAATACGATATTTAGCAATGTCTTAATTATAATTAATTACCGTACCAACATAACTATAATCTTCGTGTTACTTACGTTAGTCAATTACCATTGATAGTTAATTGGTAAAATTAAACGGGCACGTCACTATTAACTTTATTTCTCGCTAAGTAAATAACTGCTAATAGATTAGATTATTTTAAACGAGAGTACCATATCGTAGTATTGTTCTGATTTTCTTGCCATACTATCTTCTCGTGGATGTATATTAAGATTAATTATTGATTAGTTTGTTGCAATTTGTGTTGAATATTAAAATCAATGTTTACTTTTAACGCTATTAGATTCAGCAGTAAATTGCATAGCATATAATAGCAGAGTTTTGAAGTATATTTCAGCCGATTACTTTTGACGAATAACAAAAAGGTCGCTTGCAAGCTATTTAATTATACAGTAAATTCTATTGAGGAATTAATCACTCAAATACCTGTTACCATTCATTCCATATACAGTACTGTATAGCATGCAATCGATCGTTTAATTAATTGTGATGTTGTTGGCTATTCCTAATAATTACAAGAAATTTTGAATCATGTTTCACCCAGGTTCACTAGTATATCGATCGGAATACACAAGTATTTTGTTGCTTACAAGCACGCACGCTGCCCCAGCAGTAGTATCCTGTACCGATATACATTGCAAGATGGATAAATAAATAGGAATAAACTCTATTTTTGTTATTTGTATGTGCTATCCTTATGCTAGCCTATTACACAGATTGTTGAACATCTCGGAATAATTATTATCATATATAGGAGAAATCTGAAAAGTAAAGTATAATTTATCAATATTAAAATTGGATATAAATAATTTACGGATTGTAATGTAATCGTATGTAATCGAAAAAGTCTTCCTTAATATAAAAAATTTATTGTGTATCGAAATAGGTATAGTATCATCATAAGATCATTACTAGCTTAATGCTGCAGCTTATTAGGGATTCTATTAAATCGTAATGCACCAAATTGCAAAATATTCTAGATTTTATTCAATTTCTACAATTTTCTTAAGCCATCAAAAGATCTTAACTGATTAATCAGTCCTATAAGATTTTTAGATCATTTAAACGCAATTTCCAGATCAATACTGTTCGCGCTTTGAGCTAGGTAGCTTATATAATTTTATATCAATTCTTGAATGGTGACAATTATTGGTACTGTACGTATAATATCCTAGTGCCAATAAACTACTTTACAAAATTTTTATTACTTTTCCTAACATTGTATTCTCTAGCTTTCTAGATTAGGTTAGAACACGTATATTGACATAAGAAATTACATATATCTCCTTGCTAAAATACTCTAAATTATGTCATCTGTATAATACTGGTGCACGTAATTAGCCAGGCCTAATTCTTTCTTTAATTAAATATCTTAATGCAGGTGGCTAACAGAAAGGATGCTAAGTATAGCAAAGCAGAACCCATGGTCATTCCAGCTGCAGACCCTGTTTGGCCTTGAGTTGCCACGGTAGCAGCCACACCTGTTGGAAGTGTGCATGTAGACGCAGTTACTCCAGCCAACTTATAGGCCTCACCGGGAGGCATACATACAGTTGCGCCGCTTGAATCAGGATAATTCGCACAATTATAGACTGAGCTCAGGCTATTTTGAAGGACACTTGGCAAGCTATGAATGAAGATAAAAAGTAAGAGTTAAAAATAGACTGCAATCATAGGAATGTAGTTCAAAATTGATGTTATACACCTATTATATATATTAATAGAAAAATTCGAAATCTACGAATATTGGATGCACTCTGGGCTTACCAATTGATAGCAGCTTGACACTGTTGCCTAGTCACAGCAGTAAGTTGCTTAGATTTGTCGCTACTACAGAATGGAGTCAAAACGCAAACCATATTAGTCCATTTAGCTCTACAACTATTGCTAACTCCCCCGGTAGAGAAAGTTGTTTGTAGCGCACTAATTGCTGCGCCTAGAGTAGCCATATTTTGCAGTAAATAATTTGGAAAAGTAATGTTTGCCGGTAATGCTCCACAATATTGAGAGTTCAACGTTGATCCACTAAATTTAGAACACGTTATCAAACTAAATGTTCTTCCCGATTGCTTACAGTATTGTGAAAATGATTGGCTACCAATGTTAGGGATGTTAATGACACCGCAAGAGCTTAGTGACGTACATGCGCTTTGAAAATTTCCAAAGGTAGCTGTTGAAGAATCAGAGGAACACCGGGGAAGAGCTCCTTGGCAGAGAATGGTCTTTAGTGCATTAGTACAAGTGCTACCTAATGTTTGTTGCAATAGAGAAAAGCTGGCCTGGAGTGTAGAAAATATAGGACCAATACTATTAACATAAGTGGCTGGTGAGTTATAATCAGTGCCACAAAATGATCTGGCGGAACTGGGCAATCTTTTACATCCAGCAGAATTGCCGCTTATCCAAGCGACGATAGGTTGAGTACTTCGGATTTGTCTAATATGCTCAACTACCTAAATAGAGCATAATCGATGAATTACATTTATTAGTTAAAAATATAACTCTAAAATCGATACTGCACTATGTCATTGATGCAGAAATGAACAAACTTATATCAAATTAGATATAGAATAAGAGTATCTACTCGCGCTTAAAATATTCGAAATACTTCACATCCATAGCCAACTGTTTTTCGTCTTTCAATGCTTCTCCTCTATTTGTAGTTGTAGCCAAAAGGATAGCAAGTGTGAATAAGATCGATTTCAACATCTTGATTTCTGCAAAAAGATACGAATTCGTATTAAAATTGAGGATATGAAGGATTTGACACAGAAAATTAAAACATTCTGCAAAAGATTTGACCTATATTAAACTGCCCTTTATCAACTTTCAATATTTTTAATTTAAAGTAATCATACCAGTGGAAAAATTTGTCTAGCTAATAGAAATACAATCTTATATCATTTTCTATTAATCACTATTTGAAAATCTTTAACATACTCCTACTGTCACAAATGGATAGATGTTTTTCAAAATCGGTCGTAAATTGAAATCGACCAATATAGCTAGGAATGATTCCTTCTTAATTAATAAGCAAATTATGATGGCTTTACTCACTAATTTTATAAATCTTTCAAGCCGGTCACGGATTAAAGTCTACTATGACACTACTGCGTCTGATTATGCGTTAAAGAGTAAAATTATTATGCCTATGCAAAGTATTTTTACATCATTGCAGTACAAATTTTAAGGACTTTATTACTCTTGATATTACATTTTACCATTGCAATGGCAATTTCGACAAGAATAGGGATCCATTATGATTGAATCAAGATCATTGATAATGTAGTTTGTAGTAAAATTGTGGTATTAAATGAGTCTATATCAAGTAATACGTGAGATCGCATTGGACGAAAGCGGCAATATTTCACAAAAAGGAATTGGCGATGTAGGGCACCTGAAAGTTTCAACTACTAGAAAGTAAATATTAATAATTTATTGCAGCTGGTAATACTTAGTGTAAGGTGGCGTGCTACATTTTTTAGACGTTCTTTGCAGCTCTTAACGATACTATTATTGCATTCCTGTGGAGCATTCTAGATAATATTTAACTTATTATCGTAGAAAAGATGAGAAATTCCTAATCATTGACATGTTAATCGCAGTATTAACGGTTTACTATACTCAGAAATATTGTCTACTGATGATGCTATGTGCATTATATATATATATATGTTACGGCCATTCCTAAGAATGATTTTGTCCTTAAAATTGGTCACGGCCAATGCTAAGACTGCGGCCATTCTTAGAAATAACAATCAAATGACCGGTCATTCCTAGGAATAATGGACCATTCCTAAGATTGGCCGGAAATTCTTATAAGAATTATAAATAAATTCAATCTAGTGAGATAGAAGACATTGGTAAAAGGCTATAAAGCCAATTTAAATTAAAACAGATGAGATCTAGCTCCTATTCACGTAAAAAATTTTACTTATAAAAGATATTGATTAACAGAACCATGTGCGAGCTGATTAGTTATCTAGAAAAAACTTATCTCAAGCGGTATTTATGTCAAGCTATGATAACTTTAAAGTTAAAGATGTCGAAAATCTTCGTGCGGAATAAAAAGAACGAAATTGAATTGGCTTACCTTTGAACTTGGTACGACTAAGTCTTCTTTAAATAGATTATAGCGTAGTTATTGAAACCTTATATAGAGCGCAGTTATTTGGAACTGATTAGTTTAACACTATTCATCAGAATACATAACCAGTACTTTATTGCCGAGTACATTCCTTTGATGACCTAATGGTATGACAACAATTCATGAGCTATAACGTAATTCTCATCATTTCGATAATATCTGTTTGTTTTCTGCTAATTTTCTGATAGGTCATTAATCCTATTGGTTGTCATCTATCTCATTATGCACTCGAACTTAGCAACTCCAATATAAGCAATAAAGGACGAGATTATTCTTCCAATTCTGTTAACCACACCTAGTGTTAACCACACCCTATGTTAGGACTTCCTCTATTTATTCTAAGATGCAGAACAAATTCTTTAACGATAAAATTAGCAATTCATTATTTATGAATTTTACTTAGAATGCATAGATACGACACTTATCTGTACTACTTGTGTTTATGCTAAAACTAGTACTATTCAATCTTCCGCATAAAACAAAACTTTTATAATTAAGTTGATACTTTATTTACTTTATTCTGCCACTAATAACTACTAAGTATTGATTAAATAACACAGAAACGACAGATATAATTTCATGGATTAGCTATTACAGCATCAGACATTATAGCGAGGTAATGACAACAAATTACAGCTATAATTATCATTGAGAGCAGTCCTTAACAGTTTTTATAATTAATCATTCCACATCTAATTGCATGTCCTTGATCCTAACTCGTATATTCTTACACGAATCAAGATATCAATATGATCTGCCTATGTATGAATTCATGGAAAAATCTCAAGTTGATGAAGTAGCAACACCATATTTATTAGTTAGTATGTAGACCACAGAATCTTTTGTCTATCTCGAAAGGCTAAGCAATGATTTTGGATCTAGTTTCTTCAACAAAATTCAATTTTCAAAAACGTGATAAAATACTTAATAATGATGCCGCATTTTTGTACGGTAATTGTTGTCTGTACCTATACCGCATTGAAAAATGGATAATAATTGATAGTCTCAATAATTGCCTCCATTACCCGAAATAAAATGCGACAATTTGAACATGAACTGACATAGAGCCAAGGTTAGCGATATTATCAATGAGAATGGAATGCTGTGTTAAGATAGTCTGTCTTGTGACCTATTAAGATAATATAACAATACTTTTCTATATATTCGTGTTTGTATATATGCATACTTATCATCGTGTAATTCAGACTTATTGATAGGAACATTAGTAAATTGAAAATTAAAGAAAACTTGAAAAAATTTCGATAGCTAAGTAACAGCGCATAATTACCTAATTTTAAATTTAAATTAAGACATATGGAATCTCAATTGGATCTTTTACCAAAGCGTTTTAGCAAAGGAAACAATTTTTTGTGGAAAATGGCAAAGTATCAGCAAGATCAAGATTATAGGAAACATGACAAAATTACCACATTCAGTGAAACGACCATCTTAAGGTAATTTAAATGGCATTGAAGCGTACTGCAAAGATAGCAAAGTTTAGATATTTCCGAACTAAAATAGGGTTTGAGCCAAAACACTTATCTCCTAGAACTTACAATCTTTTTGAGTTCTTGCATTAGTCAATTGACGTACTCTAGTCCTTAGCTCTCCTGAATCATTTTGCAATGGCTTATATCTTGATATCTTTGCATTTAATTTAGATATATCACTTGATTTGAGCCTATTTTATTTAATTTTGGAAATGTGCTAATTAAATTTATCATCTAGAATTGTAAACTAAGGCTTGAAATTAATTCAAGATCATCCAACAAAGTAAATAATATCTTAGCCATGCCTTTTAGCATAAAGAACATGAGGTACAGTACTAATATATTGAAATGCATTTAACGTTTTACTTATTCACTTAGTATTTCCTGTTACTACTATCGTTCATTTTCCTTTAATTGATGACAGTATCCCAGAGTTTGTATTAACAATTATTTTGAGATCTATAACTCAAAACAAGGATAAAGTAGGCGATCATATGCAATTCCTTAAACTTTAACATGGTTTTACCACCTAGTTAACATGCTAATCGCTATATCTTGTGTACAACAAATTATATTATGATAAAAATTCATAAATAAGTATCGCTTTAAACTTGCTCTCCATAAATCATGCATATAATTGTCGAGGTAAACTATTAGATAGATAAATAGGAGTAATCCAATTATCAGATCTCAATTAGATCGATAGCTGTTAAAATATTTTCAGTAATTTCACGTCTTGAACTACTACTGACAATTCACGAGCTCGATTAAACTTACTGCGGCACCTAGGTAGGCATTTTAGAAGAACTTAAAAATAATAAAATTATACATAAGTTTAAAGAGGGATGAATAACTACCTAATATACTACTAATTAAATATCGAACACAAAACTATGAACTTAATAATAAGTATAAACATTTAATCTATTTATCAATATTAACTCATCTTTGAAAGTTATAGAATCAGTTCAAAATTTGCTCGGCTTATTAATTTAATAACGATTGATAACATTTGCTAACCTCTTACAAGACGAAGCGTCTATGACAGACTGATACAGATTACGAAATATGATTACTGTATATCGTAACCTTCAATGGGAGAATTGAGTTGAATTTTAAACACAGTTTACGCTTTAATTTAAGGATAGAATTGATTTATGAAATCAAATTTGAAACTGCCATAATTACCGCTTGACAGATTATGCAATATAACTTCAATGTAATGTATATGGCCTACAGTACATATCGAATCCCTAAATAGAAGAATCAAATTCAACTTCAAGTACGATAGTCTGTCATTTAATTTTAAGGATACCATTTGATTTGCTTAACCAACTAGGAACTATTATATCCAGCTAAGTATCTCAATCTAACAACGAATACCAATAATGTTATCATAGAATTATTTTTTTAGTAAACTTCTCTACTTAGCAATTCATAACCTGGAAAATTTTGATCACTATGCAGCATATCTTGCAATGAACAGGTGGTATGATATATGATTATACGGATTAGATATTAAATTTAATTTAATTGACAATTCTATCGAAAAATATATGTAAGGTATAGAAATTGCAGCTTGTAGCACACTAAGTACGGTAATTTGAGGTTGGCATAAGGGTTTCTATATCCAAAAATATGATTTTAAAGATGGTCCGACTTTAAAGCTATGGCGATCTTGTCTCAATCATTTGCTCTTAGCGCAAATATGAGAGACAACCAATCATATAACAGACATTCTCTAACTTCTACGCTGAAAGATCATCATAAGCTGTGTTCAATGACACCTTCCATTTATGCAATTGCCTAGCTATAATTAATTAAACTATCTTCTATAGATGATTGAAATGCAGCCCCAAATATAGCTAGGATTATGATTGTAAGACTGCACGAGAGTAGTAATACTCGTTTGTTAGATTATATGATTTTGAAGATATCTATTTGTAGCAGAGGTTTATATACGTATTGGCTTGATACTATTGAGATGTTTATATTAAGACTTCATGATAGTAATAGATAGCGATAATTATGTTAGTACTGTGAAAGTTGCATTGCGGCGCTTTAATTAGACGCGTAAATAATGAATAGCTCGCGTGATGATAAAGTGTTATCTTACGACTTAATTGGCAAGATATGATTACAATGTGTAAAATTCATTCTGTAACAAAGGGTATATAAACCGCGAGCTTTCGCTGTAAAAGATAATCCAGAGATAGTCCTATTGAAGCTAGATAGTCCTTGGTAGTTATGAGACGAATCTGATCCTATGTAATGAAGTGAAGTTTACAAGAAACAGTGGTTTGTGTTGTATTTTTGAGAAGACACTTTATCACAATGATATAGATTGATGTAGTAGTAAAGATTATGTCTTTGCTCTGCAAGTAAGAATTGTTACATCTACGACGTATTCATGGTCCCTGAATACGATAAATAAGTTGTACAGTAATTTCAGCAAATCATAGTAGTAACATGAAGTTTGTTAGCGCGAAGGAATTACAAAACCCATCCATTACTAAACATTACTAGTAGAGAATCTCTTTTTTATCTTTTCTCGACATTATAAACTATACTACTAATCATAATAAACGATCATAACCAAGATATGTATATATATAAAAAAATATGACGACTACTTAGACTAACTATAAGTATTAAAAAGAGTTCATGATAAAGAACACTATTTTAGTAATAGTGTAAGTCATTCATTTCCATTTTCTCAAAACTATAGAGTTTAATTAGTAATATTGATGCAAAACTGCAGCAAATGAACATCCAGTAAATCACGCTGTAATAGTGATTAGAAAATTTAACGTTAAAAGCGTTTAAATTTAAAGTTTAAATTGCTTTAAAAATTAATCAGTCCTTCTTTGCAAAATGTTCATACCAACTCCTATGTATACTGCTATTGTGCGTTTCTTTTACCATTACCTAATGACATTCTTACTCTGATTAAACTGCCTCAAGTTAATGGTTTATAGTACGGAGATAAAAATATATCTGGTAGATCTCAAAAGTGGTTTTTAGACCATAATAGTTTAAGAAGTAATTGAAACATTCTTTAGCCAAAATTTTTAATTTCCATTGATTTTCAATGGTAATAGATAATCGATAGGCAAAATTGAGCTAATCATCGCTTAATAATGTGCAGTAATTATTATCACAAAATAAATATAGCAATGCAAACAGTTCAGCTAGATCAATTTATTACATATGTAATTACATCAGCTGAATGATATTAATTGATTCTAGGTATAAACTATTCATTTAATAAAGCTATCCGAATTTTACGAAATCTTAAAATATTATTAAAACTGGAAAGCTAGAAATTAAACACATGTATACAAATACAGGAATACCGAAGCCTACTTCAATTCTCGTTAAACAAATACTAGTAAATTAAATATTCATTCCTTTCATCAGATGTATGGTGAGGACATCTAACTGTGGAATAATACATTAATCATCGAATTTATATCCTTATATCTAAGACTTGCTATCAATACTTTTAATTTAAGATTAAGCAAGAAAGATTTACTAATCGTTTTTTGACTACTTTTTCACCACACTCGTATAATATATCATGCAGAAAGATGCTTTAGATAAAAAAGCTAAAAGAGAACAAATTACGTAAAATAGGAAAGATCCAAGGACAACTGTGGATGCATGGTTAGTATGTTTTTGGCTGGAGGGACCATTGATTTGGCTAGGAGGAGCATTGGTTTGGCCACAAGGATTATAAACTGGCGCTTTTTGATCAGGAAACATATGGCAGTCAATAATGTCTCTGAAAGCTGCTTGAGAAGTGCTTGATAAACTAGACCAAGCAGAAATATGATCTTAGAGATGATGATTTGTCCGTTCGATTAGGTAAACAAAAATGAAAAATATACACTTTGCAGTATGAAAATTCTCTCTTCTTGATCGAACGTATTAATATTACTACTATAACGATTAGTTACTTACCAATTAACAGCAGAATTGCACTCTTGCCTACTTACTGAACCAAGCAGTTTCTTTTTATGGCTGCTACAAAATGGCACTTTGTGACACAAGAGACTTATCCACTTATTAGTGCAGCTAGCTGAAACTCCACTGCTCTGTAAATCTGATACAGCCTTACTGATAGCAGAATCTTCATTCGGTAGATTAGGTATCAACCAAGTTGGAAAGGTAATATTGACAGGCAATGCTTGGCAATAGAGCGAATTGAGCGAGCTCGCCTATATTTTGCACATGTTGTTAAACTGATAGTTTTTCCTGACATACGACATATCTGATTCTGCGATTGGCTGACTGAATTTCTAATGCTGGCCGGACATGCACTAAGCTTACTGCAGCTACTAGCAAAGTTTGCATACGTAGCAGTAGAAGAATCACTAGAGCATCTCGGATAAACTCTATTACATATAAGGCTCTTTATAGCACTACTGCAGGTATTTCCTATTATCTCTTCTACACGAGAGAAAACGTTTGCTACAGCTTCTACAGATTTTTGGTTTCGTTTACTCATGATTGTTGGAGCATGATAGTTTATATCGCAAAAATTTCTGACAATCCCATTTGGTAAACTACATGAATTTATATTGCTTTCCACATAACTCTTTGCAAAAGTTATTAAGCTCCTTCTGTCTCTAATTTCCTGCAAAAGCAATAAAATCTTATATCACATAAAAATTACCGTTATCAAAATCATCATGTAATAGAGCTGCATAGAAACGTTTCTCTTTTCTTCGTATAACCTACTTAAAGTTATGTACTGAATTGCCGCTGGAAATAAGTTTTGGTCAAAGCTAAGAATACTGCAATCGCTTAAAGCATAAATTCAATCAACTGGTAAAGATCTGTTCTTTATGTCATAAATTAACTACGGTAATTTTCAAGCTTCATTTCTACATCGAATTTCTCAAGTGAATAAGGATTGCAGTACAATTCTCGCAGTAATATACGTGTTATAATCGTATGTAAGCAAGAAATTCTTCTTCCTATCGATATTTTATATATATTTACCAAACATCGACCGTGTATAACTAACTAGAACAGATTACAAAGTGTATCGGTTTATGGATTACCAATTCCTGATTAAAATGTATGTTTAGCATTTTACATTTTTAAATACCTGAAAAGCATTTTAGAAGGGATAACTATTTACATAGCTAAGGATGCAATAATTTAAGCGTTGCTATACACTAAAAGAAAGATTTACCCAAACAAGAAGATCTTCATAGTGAAACAATTATAAGAGTATACGTATATCCAAGAAAAAGTAATGGATGCTATCAATTGGATGTAATCATACAAACTACCGTTATTAGATCGACAAGGCAAAATTAAAAAATAAATTAATGAACTTAATCACCACACTCTTTCTATACAATAACAGTCAATATTCATGTAGAGCCCTCGTCAAATATCTTACTGTGATAGCAGCATTCTCTTCATCTTCCTTCTGCATATTGTGAATATCTTTAGCAATTAAACTCATGACATTATCTACCAATTCATCATGTACTTTCATTACGCTCATGAATGGATGAAAGCCATCTGCATGATATAGGATAGAAAATATTATCAATACAGGACATTCCGCCTTCATCTTGATCCAATTTTGAACGATCGAGCTGTCTATATCGAAAAATTGACGGTTTAACTGAAAATTTAAAAAGAATAACAATTATATACGCCAATAAAATATATAATTTATTTTACAATAGTTGATTACCCTAACTTTAAATTGTGCACTCTTTTAATATAGTTAATCATATTATATTGCAATGTAAAACTTGACTATTTTCTTTGTCTTAAAATAAAATTAAAGAATTTTAAAAATAATACAATCAGTCTTTTTTTTAATATATTCTCTACGTACTTTCGCCTCTAGAAAGATGTCAATGATTTTCTTAATTAATTGTAATTATCTATAGTTCCATTACCCTACCGAAAGTGCACCAATATAGCATGAGATTAAGTCATGTTAAGAACGGATTCCATTCACATTTGGTACGGATTAGTTATACTGTATAAGAATTCATAGAAGAAGAATGACAGTAAGCTAAGGAGTCTTGCTATACAATGTTCAATTATTGCCTGATTAATCGCTTTAACCCACTGTATATAAGCCGGTTCATTTTCTAATAACAAAGGCATAATTTATAAATTTTATAGTTCTACTAAAGCTACGTCATAGTCGTTGAGTGCTAATGATAAAATAGATTTATGCATAAAGCGAATATTGATATTTTGTCTATGCTTTCCAGTTGAAAATCAATTCGATCAATTACTTTATATATAATGTGGGAAGCAAACATAGCAGATCAGTTAATATTGTTGCACCGAAATTGATGCTTCCTTTGATATTATTAATATGAAAGCATACCACAAGCGTCTGTTTTCTCTAAATCAAGGAATTCTTTAAAAAAAATCGACTAATTCTTATCCAGACACGTTGAATCATAGGCTATCACATAAAAGTTGTTTAATTCATAGGACAATAACTTGCTTGACAGTATTTATCTAAACGAGAGTGAGAGGACACACAAAAGATTAAGAATAAGAAGTCTGGTTCCAATTGTCCGAGAATAGGACAAAAAACCGAAAGTAAACCAATTGTCCGAGAATAGGACAAAAACCGAAAGTAAACTGTAAAATCTTCATATATTTAATAAAGCAACGCGAAAGAATACAGGTATCCTTGAACAATTCTGATACTGCTAAATGAAAATCCTATTTATTGATTATTAATCTTGATGATATAGTATTTTCTAAAATTAATATTAGCAATGACGGATCAATTTTTAATAACTTTTTCTACAAAATTATAACTGTGAAACCTTACTATTGATCATGGATGAGGTTTGATCAGTGCTTACTGCTATAGTATCCACGTCGTGGTTTGATGTCAAATTACGGAATACAGTGTTAAAGCCTAATATTATGAATCATAATTGCACGATTCACATTCTTCTACTAATTATAGTGCTGCACTTTCTAGCTTGCATCAAAAATCGAATACAGCAAATATTTCTAGTAAAAACGTTAGGTAAAGAGGATTTTAATCGTGAATACACATTCTTAACTAAGGATCAATTATTATGTATAATTTGTTTCAAGAGAATAATATAGCTACTATGGATTTGCAGGAATGTCTGCATAAGTAAATGCAACCTCCATTGGTACAGTTATTAAACTTACTATCCAGCTATGCACTCTGAAATCAATCCAAGGATGATAAAATTTTTCCACAGTTGTAATAAGAAAAATAAACTTCCCAATATATTACAAAGGGAATATTGAATATCGAATGTCAAATTATGAACTCAATGATAATTATAAGCATAAGCATTGCATGTATTGATCACTATGAACCCTTTTTTGAACATTATAATCTATTCAAAATTTATGTCAACTTATCAATTGAAGAATCGGTGATAATATTTGCGTACACCATTTAAAATATTTCATATATTGATCACTGTGAATCCTTCTTTGAGCATTATAATTAGTCCAAAATTTATTTCAATTTATGAATTAAACATTATTAATAATAATTAACTTATGCTATTTAATATGAAACTTTTATGGCAGACTGATCAGAACATTAAATATTGTAATATTAATTAATTAACATACCGTATATGTTATATTCCTATATAGAAGAATGATTTTAACTTTAGTTAGATACAACAGTAGAATTTTATTGTGTATCAAGGAGTACTACAACACTATTCCAGTTCAATAAAGCTTTATTCTCATCGTGTACAATATTGTGAGAAATTATTTAATAAAGTAGAGAGTCTTCTTTCGTAATTCTTTCTTATATTTATAGAGAACAATAACTGAAGTTTATCGATTATTTGCTGTTAGCTTAGGTAGAAAGAGACAATCAATCCTATGTCAGATAGCGCAACGTATGCTATAATTTATATGCATATTGATCACACCATTATTTTGCCACATTACATTTTTTTCTACATAGAAATGTTAATGATTAATTACAAACATTCATAATTATATTTGCTGTCAATGGAAAATATTTAAATTGTGAAACGAGATTAAGCAATGTCAGGAATACATGCCATTCATATTACGTACCATATGAATTAGAACTGTAATAATGACGATAACGTAAGAAAAATTAAGTAAATTGGATATACAGCAACAGTATTAACTATTTTCCTGACAAGCCACATAGTTGGTTTGCGATTAAGCGTTTAAATTTATAGTAGGATATGAGCTAAGCGTGCGACAGATACTAGCAAAATTTGCATACGTAGTATTAGAAAATTTATTTGAGTATTTCGGGTAAGCTCCATTACATAAAAGGTACTCAACAGCATTGCTACAGGTAGTGTGCTTCCTATGATAGCTTGCGCGGTAGAAAAAGTACTCGCTACATATTCTATAGATTTTTGATATCGTTTAGCCTTAATAGTTGGAGCACGGTAATTTTAACCGTAAAAATATCTGATCATAGTATTAGGTAAACTACATGTATTTAAACTACTCTCCACATTTGCAAATGTCAATACTCTTCTTCTCTTTAATTTGTATGATAGTCATCATACGCGTATAGAATGGCTATATGATAACGATTTCTATTTTCTTCGCTTAATAAAGGGGAAACTATTCGATGACAGATAATATTCAAATTGTATATTTTCTCAAAATCTTGCAGTTTAATTATAACAGACTACCTCGACTAAGTTACCTATATTTTATGAAGAATAAGGCGATCATATAGGACACTATTTGATGACAGCTTATATTCAAGTTGCATATTTTCTCACATCCTTACAGTTAAAGTGGCATTTATGTAAAGCTGTAATAATTTAACAGCCATGAAATCATCTTGCTATAGAAGCTAAAAGAATGTAGGAAAATAGTCTTATAAAGAGGCTATTGGACATAGTAGTAGAACTAGGAAGAAGGGCTACGTATCATAAATGGATGAAGCAAAGTTTGTCGATAACTTCCTGTTAGCGTAGGTAATAAGAGATGATCAATCATATGTCGGATACCGTATCCTGTAATTTATATGCAGATTTAGTTTACATTTCCAATACAGAAACGTTAATAACTATAATTAATTGTAAATATTCATAGTTGCGATTGCTGCAGACGGAAAGTGTTTAATTTGTGAGACTAGAATGGGTAAAGTTAAGAATAAATGTAGTTCACATTACACATCGTATAAATTAGAACTGTGATAGCTATGGTAATGTAAGAAGAACTAAATTAGGAGCTTTGGTATACAACGTTGATTTATTACGTAATCAGCTGTATTTCTCCTATATAAGTCTAAATCGTTTCTGATAATAGTGGCCCAATTTATAAGTTACTGTAACCGAGTAACTTTTGAATAACTGTTGTAGCATAATATCCATAAGATAACTTATCTATGACGTTTTACATATTTTTAATAGATAACTGTATAGTTGTTGTGATAAAATCCAATCACGAAAATTTCAGAATTGTAGAAAATTAGAACTTTATTAGATCTAATACAAAGACTAGCTACACACAGCTCTGCTCTAGCCGAATAAAACTATTGAAGGACTTCTAGAAAGAACAAACTGAATAGTCTAAAGTTGGCAGCTTGTATTCATTTCGTAGCAACCACAGCCACAATCAGCATGGCAACATTCTACCTTAATTTACACATAGTCAAATTATTATTATTGACAATATTTTACAGCGGACCATCATTAATCCGATATGGAAACAACTACAGTATTTCCGTAGATATTATTCTTTGCAGTCAAAGTACGGTAAACTAAGCATATCCTAATATATGAATTACAGTTCTATTTTTACCTCTAGCCTTAATAGTAACTCAACACCTTACTATATATAGTCATCTGTACTATAGCATAGAATCTACCATTACAGCCCATAGTAGCGAGCTACCAAATACGTCTAAAGATAAATATAGAAAGTTACGTTTCCGTACATCTTACTATCATAGCTAAAAGTCCACAATCACAATACTAAGTTTCATCACATGTTTTACATATATTTAGTAGATAACAGTATAGTTAGTCGTATAATACTATCTATCATCAGATCAACTCAACTGATATAATTAATGTTCATATCGATTTACTATCAATTAAGTGATTTTTGAATTAAATTTGGGTTCAGTTTTGTCCAAGAGAGACTAGCGTTAACAGGAGATCGTCAGTATTTACAGTAGTACTGAGGAGGACAAATTTGAAGTAGACTCATATATTTAGTTTCTACAATAGTTAAATTTTTCGTCGTTACAAAGTTAGATTTGTACCAATTATATAGCCATACCCAAAGCAGGCTTAATAATTATATAATTGTCAGTTACTAATGATAAAAACAGGCTTATGTAGTAGGTACAGGTTGATACGCTGTCTTTGCCTTCCAAAGCAAGAGTATTTAGTTTACTGCATATTTCCAGGTACGATATAGCAGGGACTACTCGAAAGAAGAGTTTCGAGTAGTCCCTGGATATAGTACCCAAATACAACAGTTCAGTTAATATTCAGCATCACTGTTCAGGTTAATTTAACATTTATTTAATATTGAAGTACAATACTGTACCACCCATTTTATCTAAATGAAGGAACATTAGCAAGAAATTATTTACCTTTATCCAGGTACAGTAAACGGTAGGCTATCAACCCGAAAGTTATTTAATGCATGCGCGTATTACAACAAGATGTTATATCGTATTGCATTAACCCAAATAAAAGAACTACAACATACGACATGTTTGCTATACAATAAGAAATTTTTTAAATTATCTCCAAAGGTAGGACAAAGAATCTAAAGTAAACTGTGGAATACGGTTACTTTACTGCTACCAAATTAAAGAATAAATGCGTTTTGGATAAATTACAATACTGGTGAGTGACGTCCCATTTATAAGAATTTAGTACCAGCCTTGATTATATTGCAGTACCGCACTTTCTAAAATTAATGTTAGCAAAGATGGATTTATCTTTCTAGATGGTTCTCATAAAATCATAATTTATGTAATAACATTATCAATTAATTATTGATGAGGTTTGATCAGTAGATGAAGATACACTATGTGCAAAGAAGATTTCTAATATATGTACTACCTAGGGATACTCTGTTGGTGCTAATAAAATTATGCCACTATATTGCTAAGCCGTTATATGAATACGAGAATAAGAATTATACGGTTAATTATCAAAAATTTCGCAAAGTAACTTGTTCGGTATAACCAATTTATTACAACCGCACTTATGATAGGAAATTGCCGTTCAACAGGATTCAATTATGTATTAACCATTGATCTTAATAAAGCATTGCTAAATATAACAAAATTCTTAAAAGACCCCTTAAAATGAGCAGGTATTTCAACTACCCATGAATTGAAACAATTTTTCACACATGGATAAGTACAGGAATATCATTGGCAACTTGAATTACTACAATATTAGCTAATAAAACGTTAGTAATCTATTTCTAGTATTTACCATAATCTAATTGACATTTAATCTAGGGGTAAGAGAAACGAACTGCTTTTGTTACTGCTTGTCTATAAAAAACCACTGATGCTTAAAGAGATCTAAAAGAAAAGTGATAAAAGTGAACAAATTGCATAAAATAGGAAAGATCCAACCACAACTGATGACGCATGATTAGTATATCCTTGATTTGGAGGCACTGCATAGGTTTGTCCATTTTGATCAGGAAAAATACTGCATTCATAAAGTAGCTTGATAGCCGCTTGTACATTATTTGGCAAGCTAAACAAAAAAGAATATTATATATTTTGAGACAGTTAAATAGTCTCTTCCACTTAATAAATATAAAAAGAAAAAATATGTATCACTGTATAAAAGCTTTCTAATGCAACATAATTACTGCTAATACTGTAATATATCATCACTTGCCATACTTACCAATTGATCGCAGCTTCACATTCTTGTCTGCTTATTACACCGAGAAGCTTTTTTGAATCACTGCTACAAAAGGGTACATTGCGGCATGAGATTCTAACCCACCTATTAGTGCAGCTGGTTCCAATTCCAGCCCTACTTAAAGTATTTCTCAAGTTGGTAATAGCAACACTTTGACCTGGCAGCTCAGGTATCAACCAAGTTGGAAAAGTAATATTCGAAGGTAATGTTCCGCATTGAAACGAATTCAATGAATTCATGCTATATCTTCCACAGGAAGTTAAACTGATTTGTCTCCCTGATAAAGTACATATCTGAGTTCCTGTCTGTCCATTTAAACTGATAGTATTGGCGGGACATGAGCTAAGCCCGCTACACCCACTAGCAATACTTCCATATGTAGCGACAGTAGAATCACTTGAACATCTCGGGTATGCTCCTGTACATAAAATTTGCTTTACCGCACTACTGCAGGTACTTCCTAGCGTTACTTGTAAGGTAGAGAAAGAGTTTGCAATCAGCCCCATCGCTTTATCAAGTCTCTTGACCATAATTGTCGGAGAAGTATAACTCGTGCCACAAAAACTTCTGATACTACTGCTCGGCATAGAGCAAGAATTTAAATCGCTTTCCACATAGGCGACTGCAGTGACGTTTACGTTCCTTCTCTTCCTAATTTCCTGTAGAGTAACAATGTTATACATTATATGAAAGTGATCATATCGATAATGAGATAATATTCGTTTTTAAGGTATAAACGACTCAAAATCACATACTCCTATACGCGAATGGTGTATGTCATTATTGCTGTGACTATTACAAGCGTTGCGAGGTTGATTTTAAACTAAAAATGTGCAATTGGCATCCTATTCGTAGAATAAGCATAACTACATGCACACACATATGCGAATCAAGACATGTAACGATATGTACATTTGAACTGTTCGCACTAGGTCATTTAGTATAATTTATAAAACAATTTTTCTAATTTATTTTTGCGTTTTCCCTCGTACTTTTTGTATCCAAAATAACAAATCATAGAGAACTTTGGTATAAAATAGTCAAATGTAGTACTGACAAATAAATTATGGTTATAAAGTTATACTAAATCAAGAAAGCATAAATTATACAATAAATTAGCACGACTACTATCAACTCTTTCTTTAGCGATAGCCAGGAGCTAACCATATTACAGTATATAGTTAGTCTCAGCAATAAAATCGATAACACGCATCCAACTACAACTATGTGTATCATGTTGATTGATTGGAGTGCAATGACTGATTGATCGATTGAGTTCAATAGTTTAGCTGTCAATAATGTAGTTTTAATGTTTAGCCAGAAAATTCACAATCCCTTAATATACGATTGTATAGATATACGTACAGTACACTCAAATTCCTTATTTAATATCTTACCGCAACGGCAACATAATTTTCATCGTCCTTTTGCACGTTCTTAGCATTATCAGCAATCAGCTTTACCACCTGATGTACTAAATCATCCTGCGTTCTAAACACGCCTATAGGCGTGTTAAACCCGTTAACATGGCATAGGATGGAAAAGATAACCAAAGCAAAGCACGCTGACTTCATTTTGATCCAATTTAGAATGATTTAATTTCCTATTTAGAAATAACATTGACATTTTACATGACAATTTCAAAAAACTTTGTTAATAATACCCCAACAATTTAATCTCCAGAATAGCTAGCTAGAACATTGTTCTACCCATAGTATAAGTACGCGTCGTCTTTTTTGTCGATTTTTTTTTACAATTGGCTATTGAAAACAAAGATTAGTAGAAGTTTTTCTATTCATCTTTACACAAGAGTAGCATAGCATGAAGGGGAATAAAACTCCCAATGAAATCATTTGTCAGTAAACTACAAAGTACTGTACAGTATATCATTACCCGTTATGACGATAATAAGTTGGATTTTTCCAATATGGAAAAGCGTCAAAAACTACCTTGACATTAATCGTACAATTTATAATAATAATTCCTTTCACTATTTATAAAAGATATATATGATTAACTAATAATGCTGCTAGTACTGTAGTAATGGTAGTAATAAGGTTATCATTATTAGAAACAGCACTGTCCATTAATACCTACTGCTCAATCAATATTTGATTTTACTACACCTTGCACTCAACTAACCCGTTACTTGTCTCTTTTTAGTATTAAAAATAACATGGAAAGTATTCCATCAACGATTTCGGGCGTAACAAAGACATACGGTAGCGTAGATTTATAGAGTACGTTAATGGTTGGTTATTCTTCATGTGTTCAAAAGTCATTCTCATCAATGGTACGATTGCGATAGACATTTGTATTGATTAAGTCGACCGGAATATCAAGGTTGATTTATCCTACTCTCACCCAACTCAATCAATATATTGATTCTTGCCGATTTTTAGCTACTGTATATTTCCCCCAAATTCGCTATGCCTTGGCAATCTTCTCAATTCAACGTACTGTAGTAGACATATTTTTTCGATGCATACCGTAAGTGTTCAAAACGATTACACGATGTAGACTAAAAGAATGTGAAGTGCGCGTAGTGCTACCTACTGTAAACCTTCACCAAGAATTTGTATTGACAGACTCGATTGAAATAGAGAGAGAGCAACATTAGGACTAATGCAATAAGAGAAAGTTGATAGCATTACCACTTGCGTAGTTTTATATTGGTACTTAATTAACAGAGAGCCGTCGAAAATTATTGTCACGCGATTCACCAACCAATTATTTCATTGTAAAAAAGAAAAATACCCTCGATACATACGGTGCAAAACTTGCACTGTAGATGATTTCAGCTAGTGATTCATTTTACAAAAGTATAGAGTGATTTTGATCAAGTTAATTCTAATTGTAGCATCAGCTCCAAAGTATAGCATGCACTATCCAAAAGAAGACATTGTCACGGAAATTGAAAGTGGTTGATATTGATCGAGGACGGCGCCACACCTTGAAATAATGATCGTTGTCACTACAATTCTCGACGCATATAAACAAGGACACAAAGGTGGGCAAATGGGAGAAGTGTATATGCTATTCGATGGTAGGCGATCACTTTAATGCCTTTTTTAACCATCGAATCCATGCAATCTTTCGTCGATGGAAGTGGACCAATCGAATGTACATCAATAAATTTCGAAACATCGCAATACAGCTCAAGCCATGGTACGCGTGCTGTAGACGACATTACATTCTATCCCTTAGTCCAAACAATCGCCTTGAAGCTAAACCTTTCTAATTCAATTTCCACTAAGAAGATACAAAAGATTTCCTACTCACTGATGATATCTAGAAGCGATAAGATGATAGAAAGATCAAATTTGTTCCCTGATTGTCAAAACGCACCAACGTGCAAACACGATGATAATATCCTAGATAGGAGTCATACAAACAAGGACACAAAGGTGGCAAATAGGAGAAGTGTATATGCTATTCGATGGTAGGCGATCACTTTAATGCCTTTTTTAACCATCGAATCCATGCAATCTTTCGTCGATGGAAGTGGACCAATCGAATGTACATCAATAAATTTCGAAACATCGCAATACAGCTCAAGCCATGGTACGCGTGCTGTAGACGACATTACATTCTATCCCTTAGTCCAAACAATCGCCTTGAAGCTAAACCTTTCTAATTCAATTTCCACTAAGAAGATACAAAATATTTCCTACTCACCGATGATATCTAGAAGCGGTAAGATGATAGAAAGACCAAATTTGTTCCCTGATTGTCAAAACGCACCAAACGTGCAAACACGATGATAATATCCTAGATAGGAGTCGCTGGCCTTGACCTCGCCCACTGAAACTGAGCCAATTAGAAACATTAGTCGTCGTTAAATCGATTACGCGTACTGTACAGTACGTGCTGACGTAACCTGTGCCCATCTCCCTTCCATTACCACGTGATATCAACGGCTCGATGATTACTATAGAAAGCTTTGTTTTCAATCGCAACTCGGGGATAATGACCTCCGACCTACCGTACTGTACAATACGTACCGGTACAGTACTACCAACTAGAGATAACTGGAGTGTACTGTACAGGACAGATTGTGTACTGTACCAATACGCTTCCTGGTCACAGTCACGTGCCATCAATCCACTATAATAATAGGATGCCAATCTTGGGCCGAGGTCGTGACGTCATTGGTGAGACAAACAGGAACTCGTTTTCAAAGTGACGCAACTACAGTACAGTACTGCACTGTACATCAATTCATACTGTAGACGTTGGTTCAATAGGGATAATGCAAGTAATTCGTTATTGTGTAAAAACAACTCTAGGGTGACTACTGGATTACCATCACTGTCCATCAGGGAGGAATCAGTTATGAACGAATGCATGGAAAAGGATTCAGATTAAATAGAGATCATTTTATCGAATAGTTTGAGTCAACAATTGAAGAGTGCAGACAGGTTCTTGTCGGGGGGCCTACTATTATTTTTACTGGACGTTTCTCACGCATGGAAAAGGATTCAGATAAATAGACAGTACGTCATTTCAATGAATAGTTTCAGTCAAGAATGCAAGAATGCAGACATGTTCTGGTCGGGGGCCTACTATTATTTTCAATGGACGTTTCTCACGGTACAGTAGTCCCTAACTCAGTACAGTGCTTGGTGCCACGATAAGCAGATTATGAATCAAACTTCTGCTTCATACATTGTTACTCAAATGGAGAAAAATTGCTGTAACACTTTCCCTCCCTTAATTTGACTCATGAGCGTGGATTAAAGTACTGTATCTTTGCAACTCAACCTTGAACCGAATATTCAGACTTTCATCGCCAAATTCCATTAAGATTCGATTCAGAAAGTACAGTACTGTACGTATACTGTATGCCGTAGACTGTAGGAGCGATTACAGCAAGGGCTGATGTTCTTCTAAAGTGCAATTGTAGGCCTATCTTAAACCAGTGTTAATTTCGGAATGACAGAGTAATCCCTGCAGTACTGTACATACAGTAGTGGGTTAGTATACAAGAAGTCACATCGAACTTTTTCAATAAATAAATGTACTAATAGAACTATCGACTCGTAATTGAAATTGAACACACGTAAACATTTCTAGCATACATACACTACTGTACAGTACTGTACTATGCATTAGATAAAGTGTAGATAAGCCGGATGGAATGTACAATAACAACTTAATCGATCTTTTTGTCATTATTTACAGTCAATACCCAATTAAAGAAGTTGTAGCATTGTGCAGCAACCGACTTACAGGAAACGAAAGATCAAAACAAGTTGATCATTTTTCAATCGATTTTATTCTCATTAAACCGTCTAAAATCCGTAATAATATAAAATTTATCTAAAATCCTAAAAGGTACTGTTATGCATTCTTAAAACAGATCTTGGTTGTAGGCTAGACTATAAAACAGCTAAGTATCAAATTACCGTTGCAGAGATACATGTTGGCAGTCTTCTACTTACTAAAGTGAAATTTCAAGAAAAATCAAAACTCTTCCTATGTCCATTTTAAGATACTTGGTTGTAAGCTAGACTATAAAACAGCTATGTATCAAATTACCGTTGCAGAGATATATGCTGGCAGTCTCCCACTTACTAAAGTGAAGTTTCAAGAAAAATCAAAACTCTTCCTATGTCCAATTTAAGGTACTTACAGTATGTCACAAGCATCTAGCAATATGATATAAACACTTGCAGCAAATACTGTAGTAGAGTATAGTAATTAGAATCATAAGGGTATTGCTTTCAAAACTTACTGTCGATACCCACTAGCTCTAATATAATGGTAACTAATCAGTCATATAAAATTTTTTTTATGCATATTCCAGAATTTAATTTATGAAAAAGATTGACATGAGAATGCAAAATAAGTAAAGCAAGATTGATTCAATAGCTACCGCAGTACCACCACCACTATATGCTTGATCTGGGGGTAAGGTTACACTTGCCGAAGTTTGATCAGGATAAACAGTACAGTCAAGGAGACTCGATCCTTGAAAACTACTTGGCAAGCTGAAATTATATTTTTATTCCAAATAAATTAAATGTCACAAGGTAAATCGAATATTTTCAATTGACTAGTGGTTTATTCAAAACTTCTTAGGTAATACTTTAGGATGGCTATGTTTATGTACAGTATATCCATACATACTGTAAACAGCGTGCAGTAGGTATCATAACCACTTACCAGTTGAAAGCTGCTTGGCATTGTTGTCGCGTTACAGCACTATAAAGTTTCTTTCGGTCGCTACTGCAAAATGGAGTATTAACACACAAAAGTTTCATCCACCTATCTACGCAACTTTTTTTTACGTTAGCTTTTTCCAATTGTGTTTTTGACGCAGCAATAGAAAGAGTTTTTCGCTGTATATCTGTAGTCAAATAACCTGGAAATACGATATTCGTTGGTAAACTACCACAAATTTGTGAATTAATCGTTCCTGGAGAGTACTTTTGACATTGTGTTAACTGGATTTTTGTTCCTGCTCTAGCACATATCTGTGGCCCAGTCTGGCCTTCAATATTAATGAGATTAGATGAGCACGCTGTCATGCCAGCACATGAACTAGCAAAAGTACCGTACGTGGCAGTGCTCCCGTTAACAGAACACTGTGGTATAAATCCTTTACACATTATTTCTTTGACGATATTGGCGCAATTACTTCCAAATTGCGATTGTATGTTGGAGAAGCGATCTATGACAAATTCTAGTACTTTAGTCAGTCTCCTAACCAGCATCGTTGGACTGTTATAACTGATATTGCAAAATATTCCAATCTTGCTGCTTGGCAGAGAACACGAATTTAAATCGCTATCGAGCCATGCTTTAACTGTGTTACTTGTAGCCCTTATTTTCCTGATGTGCTATAAAATAGAAAAAAAATAAATTGGTAAGTATCGTTCTGATTCAAACCCTGCAAATGTTGGTAGGTTACAAGTATTCAATAACTCTTGCAACGACAATGTACAAATTCGGTTGATCATTTTAACTGGTAAACTGTGCTATACCGCATATTATGCTAAGCACGATTCTGTTACTATTTTGCTAACAAGACATTGTCGAACAGTATCTACATACAGGGAACATTTCCATGTAATAGCCTTCATAATTTCTGTACATGTAACTTCATAAATGCTGAACTTACATTGATTTCCGCCTTAATTGAATCATCCACGATTTCTTTGCTACCTTTTGCAGCTGCTTCTACCAACTTCCTTAAGAAATCGTCATCTTCGCTGAACGCAGCAATATGAGAATGAGCTTGATCAATTTTGCAAGTAACCAGAAGCAATCCAAGGACAATTAGTGTAAATCTCATCGTTGCAATATCTTTACCTATTGAAGATAACTTATAGGGCGAATTATCAAGATACGATAAACTTCTTTGAACAGTTTCAAATCTTTAGAAGAGAAGTGTAAACAAATAAAACTATACATATATCTATAAAAGAATGCATGCATAACGGTTATAGACATTCTTTTATAGGTATATGCATAGTTTTATTACGCTGTCTAAGTACTGATAATTATTGGTATTGCAATTGTGTTATAAATTGCACTATAGATTTGATTTAGCTTTTCTTGAAGAGAATTAGTGGCATAGGGCTCTAGAACTACTAGTTCTAGAGGTTCATGTTAGTGGTTACTGTTCCTCCCATAGATGTAAACAGAAATACTTCTATGCTTCCTCATGACGATGGGGAGATCATCAGTCTGTAGCTAGGTAGATATCGGGAGGACAAACCTGACACTAGACTCATAGCGGTTGCTTTTCCTATAGAAAGTTTTAATTTCCGTCTTTAAAAATTTAGATTTGTAACAACAAGTTACACATTTATGAATCTACGATGCAACCAGGATCCATTCTGAGACTGCGTAATACATTGCAATGCTGTCTTAAGCCTCAAATTAATTTTGATAGCTCGATTCTACGAGTAGAAGCTAGTATGTAGGAGTTGATTATTTTATCCTTTCAAGAATATCCCAACGGTAGTTAGTCCCATTGTTGATATATCACAGGAAATACTGAGAAACAGGCATCAATACAACATGTTATTGGGAAGAGAACACGATGATTTTCCGCAGTTAATTTGAGTTCTTGTTTACATTCGTCAATAATCAAGATTTAGAAAATTTTTTGAAAAAATTCGTGTGAATCAATAATCCTGACTCGGATCGTCGATTCTATAATCGACTTGTCGCTTTGAGTTATGGTAACGGCACAAAGTTTGCTACATTACGCGTCTTATATTATATAGCATTTTTGGATTAGTACCCTGCAAGCTGCTGATCGAGTTCAATAACGGATCCTATCCAATAATCCTATCATCTAAGGTCCTATCTATTACAACGCCTTAATTGCAACAATCCTTTAGTATCATGTATCAAGGTTGAACAATGAATCATCATTATTACCCTTGTAGCCATGACAATATGTAATGCATATACCTCAAGTACTGGAGCTATGTCGATTTGTGTTGATGATGAATAGAGTTAAGGGACATGAAAATCATAAATGTGTCTTTTTATTTTAAAACGCTTAAACTTTATTATAAGAAACTGATAACTTACCTCGAAAGACTGCTTTAATTAAAAAATCTTAACCAACAGCCGTCAGGAGAAGCTCGATAGTTTACGCCTTACTAACTAGAGACTATTGTAGCAGTTTGAGTGTTTTAAACACATCTATGCTCCTTGGTCTGCCTTCTTTTAAGAACTCTGACTTACGAAACCCGTGACCGATGACGTATTCTTCGTATTTAGATAGTCCACTACCGATAAATAAAAGGGAAATGTCTTGAGATTTTTCTTTCTTTTCTCTTTATATTTATTTATCTTACTCGATTCTACTGTACTGTACTCCTGCTTTCTCATGTGATCAGTAAAGTACCGTACAGTATCATATACTGTATAATATTCTAAAGACAGCAAGAAAAACGTTGGCCGGCACTAAACACTCGTAAACTCTAGTTTTGATTTCATCAATACGCTATTTGTAGACTGAGGGAGAAATTTGATGATAATGTAACTGAAAGCTTTTACATTCATTTACTGAACAACATTATTATTACGATTTGTAGTATTGTAATTTTGAAGAGATTTAATCTACAATATTTGCCTGTTAGATTAGAGAGTTTATGGTTAGCAATCAGATTAAAGTGCGATTTGTTTTTTAGAGGATTGAAATCAAATTTAATGCTAGCAGAATCGAAATTATTGCAGTTTTATACTGTATTTTAGTAATAAATCAGTTTGATTGAAAATACTTCTAATGAAAAAACATTGTTTTGATCTAATATGGCATGTATCCTTTCCTAACACGCGTAATATATTCTATTTGTTAGCAGTTTATGCAATAAAGTTGTAATACTATACAGCGTAAGCTAATACTGACTCTAAGCTTATGGCACTTAGGCTCAGAATTTGATTTATGTTAGAGTAGAATAACAACACAGTAAGCTACTCTTGATCTACTTTAACAGTAAATAATGAACATCAGAAACAACGGCTTTATGATTTGAAGGTTATAACGGATGTAATTTTTTCATCCTAAAATTACAGATCAACTATGCAACAAATTAGACTCCTAGCAATAGCAATACAGTTCCTTTGTCAACGCTTTCTACAAACAGGTGTTTTATATTTATATACTTTATCTGTTCGCCCTAAATTAACCTTGTGATTTCTATCCTCACAGTAATTTAATATGCAAGGAGAGAATCTTTAATACAGTATATTTGTTTAATCAACTAGCAGAGGCATCGTGCGATATTAAATAGGTTAGAATAAAAAAAAATTATAAGAAAAAATTCTGAACCTTCTTGATCTAAGCTCTTTATAAACTGTCACATAAAATAGCAGTCTAGAACTCGAGCAACGATAGACCATCACAGTACAATCAGATCTACCATATACTGTCACTAATAAAATCATGTATTCTTGTTGCATTGTAGAGTACATCTAACTGATTCAGGCCCATTTCTTCGTGCGCTTGATAGACTCTTTAAACAGATATAAATAAATCAAAAGGGCTTAACATCTGCTCATACGTCGCTATTTGGCTGTCATGAAATTGAAAAGATGAAGGATCATTGTTACTGTTTATGCTATCTCGTACGTAGAGCAATTGTTAATGGTCATTGTGTTTCCAAACATAAACATGAAGCCGACAACGTTGTGTTTCCACTCTTAGTTGTTAACGTTGGTACGAGGGAGTTTGATACATCTCGCCTAGTAGGCTTACTAGAAATCACTTTTTATTTAGGATTTACTGCATTTTATCTTAGTAATTCATTACTTTATCTTATCACAATACATTAGGTGTAGTCCAACAAGCTACTGCATTCTAAGATACGTAACAGACGAGACATATTATGCTTTCTTAGTAAATAATACAAAATGAAAGTTTGGCATATCCTACGATCTGATACTATACATCTGAACAGTACCTGGTACAACAACATGTGCAACTTCTGACTTTACAAAATTGATATTCGTCTATAGTAAATGAAAAAAAATCAATCAAGCTTGATTACTAAATAATAATTTAGAATAAGCTAGATAGTTACCCAGTCGATTACACAAATATAAAATAAATCAAGAATAACCTTTTCTATACAGTATGCCCTCTAAAAAGGCGATAAATGTTAAGTTGCATAATTCTAATAGATAGCGAGTATTCATTTTATGATTTAATCATCTACTGTATTAGCTTCTATATGTACGCATTGAAGTAGAAAGACTAAATTACTTGTTTACTCGTCAATGAGGAAATGTGAACATTAAATTACAACGTTTCAATGTACTATGTTGCCAATGTAAGTTTTTGAACTGCGTTATTTTGTAGATTATCTCATTTCTATTGTATCCATTACTTCAGCGATCTTTATCGATAATAGGAAACAAAAATGTTGTCTATACCCTTTTCTTTAACACATTTCACTTTCCTGGGTGCACTCAGGGATGAAATTGTGTGTGCTCATCATGAATGTGACACTTATAATCTATTGCGTTTTTATTTTAAATAAAAAACAAAGTCCCGTAACGTACATAGTTTAAAGTTCATCGCGAGAACTCCTGAAAAAAACGCAAGAGATGGCAATGTCCTTCTAAATAACATACTTAATACAATTACTTACTTTTCCTCAAAATAATAGCAAACAAGCAGGCGTGCTTGTTTATTATGCTGTACCAGTCACTAATCAAATTTACAATATAATTAATCACGATAAGGGGTAATTAGTAATAGAAAAATTAAATAACTATTCTTCAGCCATTATTCTGGGTCTTATCCCATTCAGCTATACAGAGTACTTAACTATCTGACATTGGCATTATGGTAACATAATAGTATATATTTAAATCTTTCAAGTGAGCCTTACGTGCCATTGCAATGATTCAATCCTAACACACTTGATTACTGTCAAAATTTACATCAATTCTAAAGAAAAATACAACTTTGCAGATACCAGGTTAGTATCCAACTTGTAAACTGTCATCGTTTTCTTTGCATTACTGGTATAGATGTACTTCACTATCATTATCCTGGATCTAACGCTATCAATTACTTTAAAAAATAATGTAGTTGATTATTTTCCATCCTTATCTAGCGACTTTAATATCATAATTATACCGTATAAAAGGGTGTAGATTCAAGGCTGATAAAATCGCTGAATTAGAAGCTACGATAGCAATATTAATTCAGAAAAAAAAATTTCATTTTCTTAGCTATTTTGGCTCATTTGCAACAATTTTTCCCTTTAAAATAATTGATAAAGCAACACATTAGATTCAGGTTAAATTGTGTGTTTATGATATAAATGATTCCTCATCATTCTCTGACGAATTAAGCTTTCTTTCATGCTAACATACATACGAAAAAAGTATAAGGTTGCGGTAGCTATTTTCCATTCTATTACATCTATCACGAATTATTTTCGATAAGAAATCATCGATTATATCCTAGACTAACCTTTATACTAGTATTGTAAAATAGAAATGCCTAATATTTATCCCCCAATTTTTCTGTTTCTAAGAGTATATGGCCATATACACACAATATCATGCACTTATACTAATATAGTATAATGTAACTGTTTACATGTCTTTTACAATTAACGAAAACTGCAGTAGCAAGAGCTCGAAATATCTTCAAGCGAAATTGTTTTTCATTTTTAGGCTAAAGCTTCATTACGTTTATTAACGCCTTTCTTTGGTTAAGTAATTTTACATTTTAACATAATATTATCGGTATAGTAGCTTGATATAAAACTATAAGGATATTACAGTATTGATAATTAATGGAAAGTATAAGCATCTTCACAAACATGATTTCGTATAGTAATGATATAGAATGTATAGCTTAATTTAAAATCTAATTTATAATTTTAAATTTGCCAGAAAACTAATCATGATATAGGAATGTATGCAAATTGAGCTTACTTATACTGAAAAATAGCTAAATGTACCACATTTAATGAAATTAGGCTGCTGAGATGCATCGATCTTGTTGATAGTAAATCCAATTCGTACAGTGGATTTCTATCTACAAGTACATTGTGACATGTAAATAATCCTAGCGGCAAATTCATTCAGATGTTCACTTATGCCTGTAAACTTATCTTAAAATGCACAAAAGCGAACACGGGCTGATAGCCAGTGTATGCGTAATGAATTTTACTTGGAGTCTGAGCGTTTACAATCATAAATCAGAGCTTCGTAATTTTAAAAATTCACCCTAAGTTAATATCTCAAACATAAGTCTTGTTATCTTATTTATTATTATAGTATCATAACACATACTAAGTTTAATTGTATGTAGTCTCTTTAATAAAATGCGATATATATTGATCGATTTAGAATATTTTCATGGCTTTATATCACTACTAGAAATTTTTTATTTCTATAAAGTACGCTTATACTTCATTTAAATTTAACAATCTAATAATGCTAAACCGTGAACTAGATAATCTTCCATTAATCATAAATAATGACTGAATAGAGTATTTTATATCATGAATTGCGTGGGTTACAAATTTCCTTCTTCATGTATGTTTAATTTCACATAATCAGAAAAGTAAACTATTTGGATCAAATTCTGACAAAGTATTAGCTTTTGTAAGGTTAGAACCAACTACTATTTACCAGTAACGGTAGCTTAGGCTGTAAATTGCAAAATACTAAAAGAATGAATATCATAATTACTTGTATATAGATGATGGGCTGTAATAGAAGTATTCAATTCAAGTTGTTTATAATATAGTTTTACTTAGCCACTGATTTAATTTTCTTCTTAGCCCTACTAATTACCTGTATTCACGACCTTTCATAACCCTTATTGCATGTATCTATTCGATCTTATCATTTTGTGCAATATCAAAATAAAAGTATAAATTTTATTCATATTTTAGGCTATACAATAATGTGTACAAAACTCGATAAAGAAAGCTTATTACCTTATCGCTTCACTATAGTAGCGACAATATCTAGTGTCCTCAAGTGTATCAGCCTTAAAAATAAGCCTTATAATAAATAGTACTAATGAACATCTGACTAAAGATTTAATTATTTTACTGCTGTATTCTTATATTTAAGTATAATACTAATCGAATTATCATAAAAAGTGGCAATTCTTTCGTTATACAATAGATAGGAAATGGCTAAACGGAACCTATTGATCATCGTCATCGCTCTTATTGGATGTAGCGTTAATGGTCTTCAGAATAATTATCAGCGGGAAATTAATAATTCTCATGAATTGCTTAAACATCTGGTGAACTATTTAGCCGAGCTTAAAGGAGTGAATTTGGTTGAACGATCTGAGTACTTACACCACATAGTAAGAATACGTACATCATTTATGCTTCCATGCAATAATCAATTTACTTTTTCAACGAGGATCGTAGATTAATTAATTCCATTAACAATCGACAATGAATAAAACTAATGATGAAAAATATTGGGAACTGATGAAAGGACAAGTAAATTTAACCTTAGTAGAATGTTCTTGTGATAGTATTACCATAATGTATGATTTTGAGTGAATTAATTTAAGTGATGTATTCGTGAGATTAACACCGATTCATTTTTCTCTCTTATCAATAATAACCGCAAAAACGGATATAACTATTCTTCAAGCTCCTTATCTATAGTAGATAAAACTTGATATGATTATAATCTAGCGTTACTTCAATAATTTAATTTTTAGATAAAATAACCATAAAGAATACAACATTTTTAAGAGAACAATCCACTACTACTTCTGACATTTATCGCCTATCCAATTCAATATTACATAAGCTAATTACTTTCTGTGCATGTTAATAGCAAACACTTTCGCACTAATATCACTTAGCTCTCAAAAATTTTGTACAGAAAAAATCCCCCTCCTTATGCATTGTTAGTATTCACGATGAAGTACGTTGCATTTAATGTTAAAATGAATATACTCAGTGAGATATTATTCAGTAATTACTGTTACTTTACAAAAAGTTATCCAATGCTTTTTTCCTGTTTCGGCATTTCGTATATGAATCTTCGTGTTTAGCCTCTAGAATTTTGATTTAAAACTTTATAAAGTACTTTTATAAAGCATCACAACTATCGCTATATTCTTATACTATAAAGCCTTAATAGGAAATCTTAAGCAGATTTTTACCTAAAGTCTAACTGTATTATGATATTATCAATGTAAATACTAAATCATTTGGATCACTAGTTAAATTAGTTAAGAAAAAGTGTCACTTGAAATTATATTCAATCAATAGTAATCGGAATTTAGTGCAATAAAGCTAATTTCTATTTAATGAAATTTTATCATCATGCCGCTATTTCATTGCTCTTACTATACCTTACACGATGCCAAAGAAATATCAGATATTAAATCATTTACTTCATTCAGCTAATTCGTATACCGATGCATTCATTTAAGATACAGTTTGGTCGAACATAGACAAGTTATCGCTTATTATTAGTTTACTTATACTTTGGTACTGAAGTATTTCTTGAAAAATTGAATACTTCCATTTTCATTTACTACTATCAAGTGATGTAAAACTTTCATGTTTACTATAGATATCTAGTCAATTAATGCTAGATTGTTTATATCGATTACAAATACCAGTAGAATGTTATTCTTTACTTTATAAGGAAACACTGCCAATTCTCTTTCTTCAAAGCAGACGGCGTTATGTAATCTAATATATCATATAGTATCCTATTTTAATTTTCTATAATAGTCTATTCGTAACTATTAACTATTATAACATATATATGACTGATCAGCGCGATAGAATTTATAAAATCAGATATTATGACGTTGATAGCTGCAGTTCTAGTAAAACTCATGCTAGCGTATAAAATAATTAAAATTGCTGTTACTTTAAAATAATTACATGTATCTTATTTTGTATCCAGAAACAGAGAGAAATACAGAGTACACCATCTAAAATATGGCTTGATGGTAGCCTAACTTCATGCGTGAATGTTGGTGTAAACATTTCTTCATTTTGTAATATTAATTACAAAGTGCCAGAATATTTAGTGAAAACCTTAACTCTAACCTTGGAATTCGTAGCAAAAAGTTATGAAGTATTAAGGCCTCGGTTACATACCGACTGTTTCGCAGCAATAAGAGAAATTGTATGTAAAGGAACTTTGCCAAAATGTTCTCACGATGGAACAGCCACCTATCTGAATTTTAGCAGTTCTTGTTCACACTTGAATTCGACATGCTTACCAAATATCATACACATTAATGGTCAATCTGGAAGTACATTATGCAGTGAAGCAGGCAAGCAATATACACTAAACGCTTGTCGCAAACCTAAGCTAACAGCAATTAATAAGGACCACTGTAGTCCTTTTAGTAATGAAATTACTTACCCAACATGGTTAATGGCCAGTTTAGCAATTCAGGAGGCGACTGTTAAAAATACAAAAACTTCCTTTGAAAGGCGAAATGTTTCTACCGATTGCATTAATAAGTGGGTAAAATTTACATGCAATAGAATTCCATTTTGTAGTCTTGATCAGACAAGTTTACACGTTGGTGTTAGCAAGCAACAATGTGAAGAAGCGTTGACATGGTTAGTATTTTTACTTACTTTCAGTTGAATTCCATCAAAAATTAATTAACGGACTGGCATTTCCGTTTAAATATAATAAGAGCAGGGACTAATTAGTACTCTTATATTTGATAATTATTTTCATTTATTGCTATTAATCGATATCTTTATATTTTCTTAGTTTACCACCAAGTATGGCAGCAACAAGAAGAGCCGGAATGGATTGTAACAGTTTTCCCGATAGCAACAATGCAGTGGTAGTTAGTAGCAGTTACTCTATATTAGCAATTAATTACATTAACCTATTTTTGGCCTATCTATTTACTTTATTGCTATTTTAATTACTATGTATTGCTACCAGTTTTATACTGCGCATAAGCTGTTTAAGGTTAGAATATAAAATTCCTGTTATTTAGAAATTACCGTAAATATCCCTTTCTATAATTGTTATATTCGTTTTCATGCCTTTCCCAATATCCCACATAAAATAAAGCTCATAGAGTAGAGCACTTAGTCTATTGCTGACATATGCGTATCATTCATCATGACAGATCGGCTAGCTAGTCGATCTTGAAGCTAGCATGTACTACGCATAAGTATGTTCTGTTAAATATTCTTTTGATATCCTGGTAAAAATTTAAAGGCTGTTGATTAATTTAATGTATCAATGAATCGGTACGTACCGAAGGCAATGATAGACAGTAGAAGAGCAGTAATCACCGACCGTTGTTACTTAAGAATTACACAACCATAGTATTTTTGGCATGGATTACTATACGCGTATATAACTTTATTTTATTGCTAACCAATTTTGGATAGTATTAGCAATATCATCGATTACAGGCCTAAGTAACATATCCATATTTAATTAAAATTCGCCTACACGTGTAAGATGTTGTAAATAAATCAGAAATTAGGCGATAGCACGCATAGGTACTATAGTACTAGGAAGATATTATTATTTATAAGTATTTATGATATACGTAGAACTACTAACGAATTAAAGCTGAAACCCTTTCTAAAATTTGATATCATTACTTTGAATTATGGCAATAGCATAAATATGTAGCATGATTTTGATCAAATATCTTAATATTCGAATAATATGTACGGGTAATAACAAAGAAAGGTTTTAATACTAGCTTGCCTTGCTAATGCTTACCAAAAGTAATTTATTACGTTATTCCTACATTTGGTATTGAAGAATTTCTATTGTAACGTTTGTTATGATAAGCGTAGGCTAATAGCACTATTGATTTCTTCTCAATCCTTCCCAACATTTACTACTTACCAAATTTATAATATAGTAGAAATACTCCTAGGCATTGTATAATACTATGATACAGTATTCCGAAACTACGACAGTAATTTGGATTTTTTGTTAACTTTATCTGACCAATTAGCTATTGTGTCAAGGACGATCCACAATATCCTGAGGAAAATATTTGCACAATCTTTCTAAATTGTTATCACTCTGTTGTGGTCAATACCCAAATTTGGGATTGGCTAACGCAATGGACGATCCTAAGATTATACAATGACTTTATAAATACTTATGTTGATACAAACAGTCTGTAGATGTTAATGATTCGAAGGAATAGCATATAGCAGTCATAAGCGGAGCTCTTGCTCTGAACATTGCAAATGCAAGCGCATTTACGCTGGTATTAATTAACAACTATTGCACATCCTGTATGTGGCTATCCCTTGCTACTATCGAACATAATCTACTTACGCTATGTTTGCGCCCTGCACCATAGTAATAGTCGACGGGTACGGAGTGAAAAACGTACAAGAAATAGTAATAAGTATTTCAATGAGCATTTCTGTCATACATATTGCCAGTACAAGAAATTGATATCTACGCGTTTATTTATTTCTAATAAGGCCTTATTGCATAATTAATCATACTGCTGTCATTAGTAACTACTATGCATTTGATGGTCCATAGCAGTGATAGTCGTACTCTAAAGTGAGAACAGACGAACGAGGATAGCTAAAGTGAAGAAGTAAGAAGATATGGATAAAGTCCAATAGACGAGGCAACCATTTTTTTCATACTGTATCCTATACAAATGGGCTCCATCCCAGTCTAATCCTGTTTCTATCCAATTCATCTCTAAATAGGCCTGCTGTAGTGTGTTTAGGTTGCGCCTAATTATAAGTATACGACTAGAGAGTAAAACACTGTCGATTGGAGATTGTAAAGCCTAACAAATTTGATACTGTGACTCAAATCGATGTAGAACATCGATTGTAATCAAGGCAAAGCGCAGCGCAAATGCTGCAATGTGCCTCAAACAGGCCTAAAATGGCTACAGGTAACCAATTTGTCGTAGTATCGCTTTGCTCAGTTCTTGCTTTTGACTTAAGGGGAAATTAAGGATCAATACGGATATCTCGATCCCAGTCTAATCCTGTTTCTATCCAATTCATCTCTTAAATAGGCCTGCTGTAGTGTGTTTAGGTTGCGCCTAATTATAAGTATACGACTAGAGAGTAAAGCACTGTCAATTGGAGATTGTAAAGCCTAACAAATTTGATGCTGTAATTCATATCGAAGTAGAACATCGATTGTAATCAAGGTAAGGCGCAACGCAAACGCTGCAATGTGCCTCAAGCAGGCCTAAAATGTCTACAGGTAACCAATTTGTCGTACTATCGCTTAGCTCAGTTCTTGTTTTTGACTCAAGGGAAAATGAAGGATCAATATGGATATACGACTCCTGCAGTATTTCCATACAAATTATTATACGCGTATAATACATGCTGAAATCCAAGATTAATAATAATAACCCCAATAAATAATTTATTTACTGTAAGAAGATGATAAGATCGCAATATGTACGGGAGTTTAATCTAAATAGCGAAGTAATAAATCTAGTCCGTGAAATTGATTGAATCCAAGATCGCTCTCGCATAAGAGTGAAAGTGGTTAGCCCTCCTCAGCTGCCGTCGTAATTGGATTAGTTTTTCTATAGTTAATGATGTCTCCATATTGAATTTTCCCATTTTAACACCAACTCTTCATTTGGCGGGTTTCACCATTACAGTACAGAATCCTGTGCAGAGAATAGAATAGACTGTATTTTACAGTACATTGTACAGTAGTTGGCTACAGTGTACAGTTCAGGCTACAGTACAATATACCGTGAGATACAGTGTACCGTACTGTAACCCCTGTAGTCATACAGTACAATGTACTATATTGCACAGTACACTGTACTGTATGCTTTATACAGTAAATTGACAGGGTACTGTTTCTTTCTTAGCATTTTCTTATACTGTATTGTACTGCGCTGTACTATACCCTATTGCACTTCAGGTCAAAGAAAGCCAACGGGATTGAATCGGTAACTGTGGCGACCACCTGTTCCAGTCCAACATCCATTTGAGCTCGATAATTCTATCTGTCATTATTGCTGCAGCAGCCAGAGTATAGCTAAGAGGATATTCTCTTCAAGATTTCAAGCTAAAAACTCGTACTACTGCTGCAGGCCATTATAATACAACACCTACTGTATTTCAACTAGATTGACCCATGGATGAAGAACAAGAATTGGAAGGCTATGAGGAAAGCGATGAATATGTTGCCATGACCTCCGCTGAGCTTCTGGATAAATTAAAAGAAGTATGTTGTACTATTGATCTTTTGTAAAGTGCTCATAGATCAGCAGTATTACCTCCATGATGATCTATCGCTATCGAGCGTTTTATATCAATTATGGCAGGAAATAAAATGATGGTGGCAAATTTCAATTGTACATCATGCCCATGCTATGCTTATTCAGTGCAGTAGATTGAAATGGTCGAATAGAGCTGACTTGATTTCTGTATTAGGACGTCTAGTTTAATCGACATATTGTAATTAACTTTATACTTGGATTTTACAGTGGAGAATCATTCCATAAGAAAAAGGAAAATGATTTAATGTCTTCTTCAACAATTTATTATCCTAGGCATGGATCAATGAAAGGATGGCTCCTGAATTATTGAATAGTCAGGACGAATTAGTCGAATGTATGATTGAACAACTCGATGCAATGGTACTCTTCTTTTTTTAGCTACTAATAATGTATTCATCATTGCAAATTTCAAGTGTTTGTACATTTACACTCTAACTCAAGCAGTCAATCAAAGGTGTAAAATGGATGCATAATTTTATCTACTTTATCTATTATCTAACTAACGAACGAACGACAATTAGGAAAGAAACTTAAAGACTGGCAAGCGAAATCCCCTTGTTAACAGTATGCATGGCTTAGAGGTAATAACTTATTCGATTAATTATAGATTATATTATTGAATCGATCTTTGACAGTCTCACCTTATATTCTATACCAAAGTCAATAAGTTGTTTGACTTAAAAACCCTTAATCGATAATACATCATCAACTATCACTCATTCTAGATACTTATTTTTTTTCTACATATTTGCTATGTTTCAAGATGGAACGAGTCAGATTCCTGATCAATAGTTACATTAGATGTAGGCTTGGCAAAATTGAAAAATACGTGATAGATGTGCTGCAGCAACATAAAGCTAGAGGACAAGAGGATTTGCCATTATTATCACGCGCAGAACTTGAATATGCTCGAGAGTATGATATCAAACTTTACTCGAATTTTCAATATTAATAAATCACTTATTACCTAGCTGGTGATATGTAGTATCCGTATATTGGCAAAAATGGTCTTAATTTATACAAATTACCTGTCGTTCAAAGATCAAACTCAATCCCCTTTACACATTACATTCACCTCTAGGTATGCTGATGGTATGGAGAATCACCTGAAATCGACCATTCTAAAATTTCTACCGACAAATCTTCAAAATTTTGATGAGGCTAAAGAACGTAAGTTTTATAATAATTTTGAAGAGGAAGCATTTATAATATCATTTGCATTATCGTTTACATAGTGGCCATTATAGATTGTTTTCTGATACTATCACTACATTGAAATACGTTTATAACATCTGTTTAACGCCATTCAACATAATTTTATAATTTTATTGATTGCAGTTCCCAAGCCAAATAAAGATAAATATGTATTTATTCGTGTAAATGATCAGCAAGATCAAGTACTAATTGAGTAAGTAGTAGCTTAACGTTAAATAGTCTTTATAATTGTAGTTCAGATATGATAAACCGATTTGAAGCAATAGAGTAAAGGTGATGCGTCATTAATCCGAAACTTTTTTTTAATTCGTCAAGCGATGATGAAACAACTGATCTGAATAAAGGAGCTCGACATATAGTACGATACTCGTTTATTGCTTCACTTCTCTCCGAAGGCTCAGTTTCCTTGACTTAATCTAAAGTTATTGACTACTAATGGATTAGTTATGACTGGCTCGTAATACGCTGATAATTATACTATTCCACCTAATTTTCTATTATAGTGTAGACCACCATTAATTAACTCGCTAATTGCAGCCTATTGCTATAAATTTTTCAACAACTTGCTACATTAAGCAAATACCCTGTACTATAACGTCTGTAGCCTTTTTACTTCAGATCACGATGCGATAATAGATCAAAAGAATACTACGGCATCTTTGATTGTATGATTATCGTTGATGAGTCTTGATATTTCATCAGTATTATACTCAATTAAACCAGATATTGCAACAGCTTTCTAGAGATACTGTAATTCTGATTAAAATCAACTTGTTTCTGTTTCAATTTTAACTTTTGAGTGTACTGTATGTAGAAATCATATTCTGCCATATCGTATAATGTTTGAGTGCGATTTATCTATTCTCGACGATTAAAGTTAATATTCCTTCTAGAGTAAGAGAAATATCATACTAGTAAAGCACTGCTTAAAAAAATGTATAGTTTCGTGGCTAAAAGTGTTACTAATCGTTGTAAATATGCAACCATTTAGATTCACATACGTTGCGATAAAATTAGATCGACAATCTTTACACCTATTCAATTTTGGATTGCTAAATTATTAAAATTCTATTTTCAATCTTTATGTAATAATTGAGCATTTTATAATATGATGTATGGAAAAAGTTGTTATCTATTTCAATTAATAAACATCGATTTATTTCACTGTGTTATCGCTATCAGCCTTTTCTCCAGTACATATAGTATATATATACACAAACCAGAAATAATGGCTATATTATTTTAGAATCTGAAGGACTTAATTAGCTACAGTAAATGAAAATATAATCAAAAGGGTTGCTACTATAAAAAATATTTACATGATCTAACGAATAAAATTTACAATTAATAAGATTTCAATGGTGAATTAAAAGGTACCCATAAATAGCTAGGAAATATTATCCAATGCATATGTGGTATGTAGTTTAACTTAGCCTTAATTTGCTGCGCATTACAAGAGAAACTGTTATAAAGCCTCTTCAGCAAACTCTTTACTATCAGGTTTTTTGTTTAGATTTGGTTTTTTTGTTGTTATCGGATAAGCATAACGCCGATAAACTTTTACTTGAAAGAGGATAGAAGCCATGCTATAGATATGAGGTATAAAAAACGCAGCGCATAAATCGAGAAATAATTGAACTGCAGCCATCTGATGGAATATCTTACTGTGAGGAAATTCAATCGACACCATCACAGCAAAAACGATGAGCATTAATGGTATAGCTATTAAGGCACTGATACCCATAACTGAGAAAAAACGATTTACTTCATCTAAATAACGCAATGGTAATATGGAGGCTACAATAGATGCTGGGTATAGTATCAAACCAAAGATTGAATAAGCTATCCCGAAGGCTAGTATAACTAAAGGGAATAGAAAAAATCGAATATTTTTTCTTATCGCTTTAAAGTAAATTGCAGCAATTTGTTTCTCGTTGATCAAAATTAAAGTTGTAACGAAGATAGAACAAGCTATTGCACTGATTGTTGTAATGACAACACGGAATGAGAATAAACTACCATCACTGGATGATAACAGCTGATTTGTACATTTAATTGATGTTTCCTGGTCAAGATAGCATAAGAGGCAATCATTATAGACCGGTTTACTTTCCAAATTAAACATGGCGATAGCAATACAGGTCATAGGTACACCATCCAGCAAAATTGGCTGTAATAAAGAAATTAAAGACGCTCGATCGAAATTGCGATCACGCTTAATTTGTTCACTAAATTGTTGATAGAGTTTTCGACGATAAAAATTTAAAATATTCAGAAAGCAAGAGATAAAGAAAAATATCCATACGAAGGCATAACTTGCGCTATAACTGTTTAAAATAGATGTAAATTGATCTTCATAATTGCAACAAGCATTTACTGCAGTACAATCATCCGTTTGCTCAGTTATAATTAAGCCGGCACGAGAAATATTTTGGATCATAACCATGGCAGACAAATTGATGCTTGAATTGATAATTATGGCTATATTGGAAATAAAATTGAGTAGGATAATCAGTGGGTGTATCAATGTGACGATAAAAACTCCTTTAGGGTTTTGCATTAATTTGACAGTAGAAAAGATCCGTAGAGCCTTTGATTTCATGATTTCATCTAAACAAGTTTTTATTATTGATTCCTATGCAACGAGTCGGTAATTGTAGTAATATCTTGATTTTTTTGTCTATCTGGTAACAGCAAGTTCAATCTCTCCTTTCCTAAGCGTGAAAATGATTGTGGCTTATTCTAATCCATGCTTACTATATTAATTATATTGTCTGGAAAAATCGTCATATGATAATCAACTAATAAAAATATTGCGGGCATGAGTTATTTGGCTTATGTAAAGCCAACTACTCAACAAAAGGTCACGTTAGTAAAATCAGCAGTAACATTAATCATGAATACAATCGTTAGCATCCTTTCTTTCACAACATGAGGCCTTAGATGTACTACCGAAAATAATATTCTGGACAATATAAAATTATTTGGTGCATAATAAAGCTACGCAATGGTAAGGTAATCATGATGGAAATTATGATTTGTTACTTAATTCAGGTAGGATTATCATCATCTTCAATTAAAGGGATACCTAGTGATTGATGGCCTGTATCAATCATTCGTTGTACTAAATATATCTTTATAACTTTTAGTTAAGAGAAGACTCTAAAAGGAGATAAATTTAATGTATAATCTTATCAAAATAGTTATTATCCTACTCATTGTAGATAGCCGTTTATTACTTTAATTCCCTATAGAATATAGGCTTCTTTTATGGTATATTTTCATTTGTTTCTATTACAACGACTCGTACATCAAACCCCTATGAAAATATTTAGATAAGTGCTTATGGTACAAGAAGTTGCTGTTGATTATAATTTACTTTACACAAACATTCCTCTGATTATGATACTATTCTGAGTACTATGCATAAACGATTGGATACCTTCCCTTTTATTAATTTTCTATTCTCTTGATTCCCTTCTATTTGTAGGAGCTCTATAATCATCCTATGCCAAACACATTTCCACCCCATACTTGTACATCAGAAGCAAAAAGTAATTGTTGTACACTGAGATACCACCAGTTAAGCTGGTAAAATAAAGTCTATTTCAAAGCGAACTTTCCCTAGCTGAGTTCTGTTTCTACCTTGTTTTTCTGCTTACTTGTGTGCTTTTTATACTGAGATACTATCTTTTAGGCTGGTGAAATAAATCTATTTCAAAACGAACTTTCTCTAACTTAGTTCTATTTTCTACTTTGTTCTTTCTGTTTACTTCCATAGTAGGTTAGAACTGCACACTTTCATTCCAAGTAGTTATTTATTATTGCCACTTTATCGTTACTGGCGATAAATAAAAGGTACTACGCATTTTTCTCATTGCTACTTTTTTATTCCCTCTCTCCCATTCCTATTGTATATGTTATACATATCTCCTGCAACATATTATTATCAATCTCTCATTCTTATACAAATAAAATAGACTTCTATAGAAGAAGTAAACTATTCCAATTACTCTTTCATCTTTATAAATAATTCTTTCCTGCTGTTCTTTCTAAACTATGAAAACAAATCCTTAACATCTATTTCGTTAGCTAGTTCCACTAGTATTATAGTAAGCTTCCAAAGCATTATAACTGCAATAACACTAGCATAGCGTCGATAAGTAAATGTCAACGGAAAACCCAAAATATTTATATACACTCTCCAAATTGGCTTTGATAATTAATGAATAATGTGCAATACTGTGTCGTACTTTGGACTAGATATAGTATGATGATTTAGAGTAGACCAGAGAAACCTTGCTGGAATCCTAGGTGAAAAAATTTGAATATATTGTAGTACAACTAGAAGATTGTAAATAGAAAGACTTCAAGATTAGCCTATAATATTTTATACTTTCTCTAAATTGGCTTTGATCATGAACAATATGCAATACCATATCGTACCGCATATTTAGACTAAATATGGTAGTTTAGATAGGATAAGAGGACCATCGCTAGAATTATACGTGAAAAATCAAATCTATCCTCATACAATTGGCGTAGCAGATACAGAAGGGTTTCAACGAAAAGCTCAAGCTATTTTTACACTTTTTCTAAATTGGCTTTGATAGTAGACTTAATGCAATATTATGTCCTTGTTTAAACTAATTTTGAGAAATAAGTACCTATATGAATAGCTCGTTATTTCTTCATCTCTCTGCTCGCTCTAATATAGCATTTTTGTGCTAAAATTATATATAAATCTTTCTATTCATCATCAACTATACGTCCAACTATCATGGAATGACAGTACTTTTCTTTTACGTGCATATCTATGCTATATCTAGTTGTGCAGGCGCTACTTTTTCTGCCTTAATTTCTCTCTATCACTTCTGTTGGCTAACTAATATAAAAGTCATTGAGAACAAAAATCTGGCTAGTAAAAAACAATTTGAAAATCTTTGCATTTATTCATTTAAGTAAATAATTTGATAATTAGTTAATGAAAATGACAATCCAAATGATCCACGTATAAAAACAAAATGTGTACAGCAATACTATGGAATACTACCAATTTCGGTAGATGCATAATCTACGGTATGAGAGATTTGTATTAAGTCAGACAAAAATTTCATCTGTTCTAATGATATATCAATCAAGATTTTATACTTTTCTTACCGATCATCAACGATGATTCTGTGTAGAAACTAACTTAAGCCTAGATAGATCAGTAATGTTGTATAGCTGCATGTATTACTTTAAGCTAGAGAGAGCATATCAGCTTTTACTTTTATTTATGAAGTCATAAAATTGAAAGTAGACCCAGTATTAATAAACGATAGAACTGGAACATTAATATTTGAATTTTCAAAATGTCAAGGCATACCTCATAAAAATTATATTTCTCTTAACTTTTTTCTTCTAACCAATATA